TTTCAAGTAAGTAAAAGTAAATCGACATTAAAAAGTAATGTTAGTTGATTTTGTCCTTTAGCATAATTTATAATTGTTGAAAAGTTAGAAAAGGTGAACAAGCAAGAAGAGAAAACTAAAATCCCCCAAAGCTGCATTGTGCAGGAGTTGGAACTACTGCCAACACATTGATGCAGAGCTTCTCAGTTTATTGTCTAAATCTTTACTTTCAGTAAAGGAATTGGGTCAAGCCCCAGGATATCTCCTCTGCTGATGTGTCCCTTGCAAGAGTAGCCAGGCATCACAGGGCAGTGCTCAAGGACTCACGGCCAACCTGCCTGGATCTTAGTGAGTGTTCATATCCACCAGCATTAACCTACTGGCTAAAGATTGGGCAGTGATACAATTTTTGTTAGATGTCAAATGAAGGCAATGTCTTTGTCCAGGCTGCCATAACAGAAAACCATAGACTGGGTGCCTTACACCACAGACCTTTACTTCATACACTCTGGAGGCTGGGAAATGCAAATCAAGGTGCTGTGGGATCTGGTATCTGAATGGGGCTCGCTGCCTGGTTTGTAGATGGCTTTCTTCTGCTGTATTCTTACATGGTGGAGAGGAGGGGAGGGGAGAGGAGAGGAGGGGAGGGGAGAGGAGAGAAGGGGAGGAGAAGAGGGGGGAAGGGAGGGGAGGAGAGGGCAGGGAAGGGGAGGAGGGGGAGGAGGGAAGGGGAGGGGAGGAGAAAGGAGGTGAGCGGAGGGGAGGTGTTGCTGTGGATTTGTTTCTGAGAGGAGGAGCATGGTGGAGGCGAGAGACACAGAGTCACCACACAGACCCCGGGAGCCGGGAGAAAGCAGGCTAGAGGTGAGCAGCCCACAGACTCGTTTATCTCAGTTGCTACAGCTGCTTATATAGCCAAGGCAGCCAATCTGGTCAAGGGGCAGTCTATGCCCTAACCAATCACAGCCTGTTGCCAGGCAGTTTCCAAAGCCATCCAATCACAGCCTGCTGCCAGTTAGGCTCTGTTGCCAGGCAGTTTCTGAAACCATCCAATCACAGCCTGTTGTCAGTCAGGCTCTGTTGTCATGTGGTTTCCGAAGCCATCCAATCACGGCCTGTTGCCAGGCAGTTTCTGTTGTCAGCAGCCATCTTGGCATGACCTTTTCACCTTCTCATTCCACCACATTCATGACCTTCTCACCTTCTCATTCCACCACAGGGAGGGGAGGAAAGGGAGAGAGGAGAAGAAAGAGAGAGAGAGCGAGTTCTGGGTCTTTTTTTTATTAGACAGGCAGAATTAGACAGTGAGAGACAGAGAGAAAGGTCTTCCTTCTGTTGGTTCACCCCCAAATGGCTGCTACAGGGCTGGCATGCTGTGCCGATCTGAAGCCAGGAGCCAGGTGCTTTTCCTGGTCTCCCATGGGGTGCAGGGCCCAAGCACCTGGGCCATCCTCCACTGCCCTCCCAGGCCACAGCAGAGAGCTGGACTGGAAGAGGGGCAACCGGGACTAGAATCTGGCACCCACATGGGATGCCAGCGCCGCAGGCGGAGGATTAACCAAGTGAGCCACGGTGCCGGCACCCATCTGTGTCTTTTTGTGTGGGCACTAATGCCATTCATGAGGGCCCTACTCTTGTGACCTAACAACCTCCCCAAAGTCCCGATTCTTAACACCATTGAATTGAGAATTAGGAATTTGGACGTATGCATTCTGGGGGGACAAACTTTCAGTCCACAGCAGGAAGTTTCTCCTGTTTGAAGGAAGATCCTAGGCGGTGGTTGGGCATTTGTGGAGGAGGAGAGGGACTGGGCCAGGAACTCACATGGATTCGCAGGCTGCTGGGAACCAATGCCGCGGCTAGTCGGGAGGCAGAGCGGGAATGTGGGATGAGGACAGGGCACTTGGGGCAGGGATTCTGTGAACACTGCAGCTGTTTGGGCATGAGGGAGCCTACAGGATTATCCGAGGGTGATGCAACAGAACACAATGTGGCAAGATGAGAATTGAGCTCCTCATATACTGTCAAGCTGGTTGAATTTGGTTTAGAAACCAGGAGGCGTTGAGCTGTCAGGTGGAAAGACTTAGTAACTCTAGGTATGGGGGCTGGGGAAGGGAGGGACTGAGGGGTCCCAAACCCTCTGGGTGGTGAGATCCCACCACAATCTATTTTATTCTGTGACCCATATAACTGCTGTATGCCATATGTCTATGAAAATAATTAAAGCTAATTAAAATTAATTTTGGTTGGCGAGTATTTGAAAAGTTTCTTAATAACTCTGGAGATAATTAGAGATGCTTTGGGATGTCTCAAAACAAGTATTTTGAGGGACACAGAGAGATGTTTAAACCAGAGGTGCTCAGTGCAGGCTGGTAACGGAACAACAATGCTGCAACCGAAGGAACAAGAAGTGAGGAACTAAGAGTTTGGGTCTGAAGCAAGTAGGTTAGGAAACTGACTCTGAAACCAACCAACCAACCAACCAACCAACCACTGTGCTCTGCACCGTTTGCCATTTCTGTGGTGTAAGTACCCTCACCATGGTGGATTTCAGATTACCCATGGCTTAACAACTAGTGCGCACAATTCCTGAACACTTATTTATTTTTAAGATTTATTGATTTATTCAAGAGGCAGAGTTACAGAGAGGGAGAGACAGAGGTCCTCCATCCACTGGTCCACTCCCCAAATGGCCACAATGGCTGGAGCTGGGCTGATCTGAAGCCAGGAGCCAGGAGCTTCCTCTGAGTTCCCCACATGGGTGCCATCCTCCACTGCTCTCCCAGGCCATCAGCAGGGAACTGGATCAGAAGTGGAGCCGTCGGGACTCTGACTGGTGCCCATGTGGGATGAGGCAGAGGCCTAACCCACCATTCCACAGCGCTGGCTCCAATTCCTGAACATTTAATAACAGCTCTTGTAAATCCCATGCAAGACAGCTAAAGCACACCATCTGTATTCCTCACGGAACTTCTAGTTAGCTTTGCGATCTTGGGCAGATCATTTTAAATTCTGAATTTTAGTTTTATCATCAAAACATCCGATTGCTATAGCTCTAGGGTCCTTTCTAAAGTTACCATTCCAGGAGCGAAGCTGGGTGAAGGGCAAGAGTGATGTCATATAACCGTCCAAGGGTGACACAGCAGAACACACAACTGGGTATGGGCTGTGTCTTCCTCCAGGTTCTCACTCCTGCTGGCCATGTGCGTGTCCTTCTCCACGGCCTTTCCTTGGGAGGATTGAAGATGACGGTGCAGCCGCCGTGAGCCGCGCTTCATGGAGCATTGGTGAGATAGGAAGGCATTACCCACAGCCAAAACATCCCGCAGTCAACCGTGAGGTCCCAGGCATCAGCCGAGAGAAAATCTTACAGCTTTAGAACATGACCCTACCCAAGCACGAGACCCAAAAGTGGTGGCTTTCCTTGACTGGCTAATTTGGACACTGGCTCGAGTCCCGGCTGCCCCACTTCCAATACAGCTCCCTGTTAACACACCTTGGAAAGCAGTGGAAGATGGCCTCTGTTGTTGTGGTCATTTGGGGAGTGACTCAGCAGATGGAAGATTTCTCTGTCTCTCCCTCTCTCTCTGTAGTTCTTTCAAATAAATAAATAAATCTTTTAAAAAAAGAGATAATGCAGGGTCTGTGTATTTAAGATTTTTTTTTAAAAAAGATTATTTTATTTACTTAAAAGGCAGAATTACAGAAAAAGCGGGAGAGACAGAAGGAGAATCTTCCATCTGCTGGTTCACTCCCCAAATGGCTACAATGGCTGTGGCTGGGTGAGGCCAAAGCCAGGAGCCAGGAGCCTCTTCCTGGTCTCCCACATGGGTGCAGAGGCCCAAGCACTTGGGCCATCTTCTGCTGCTTTCCCAGTCGCATTAGCAGGGAGCTGGAGCAGAAGTGGAGCAGCCAGGACTTGAACCAGCGCTCATCTGGGATACCGGCACTGCAAGTGGAGACTTAACGTCCTGCACCACAGAGCCAGCCCCCGCGTCTTTCATACTGATGTGTGTCAGGTCCTGGGACACATAGGAACTCAGCAAGTCTTTGTTGAAAGTAAGAGTTGGGATTTTTATAGAGCAAATGCTGAATCGTAGAATATTAATTCAAAGGACAGGCAGTGTCTCCTCTCCGCGATTACCTTAACAATGGCCAAAGACGTATTTTTCCAACGCGAGAGATTAGGTTTCTGTTGTAACAGAACCCATTTCAGTGCCTTCAGTTCAACGTTGGGCTTTTCAGTCTGTCCTCCAGCTGGATAAGAGAATTGACAACGCCCCCAGAGCCCAGTGGAGAGGAAACTGAAAGAGAAAACCCACCCAGGCAGCTCGGGGTCCCTCCCCACCCGCGAGCACTCCCCTTGCTGGGCAGTGGCCTGTATTGGCGCCTATCTTTGGAAAAGAAAACATTGTTTATTTACAAAGCATACTTATTTCTTTTTTTTTTTTTTTTTGACAGGCAGAGTGGACAGTGAGAGAGAGAGACAGAGAGAGAAAGGTCTTCCTTTGCCGTTGGTTCACCCTCCAATGGCCGCCGCTGCAGCCGGCGCACTGTGCTGATCCGATGGCAGGAGCCAGAATCCAGGTGCTTTTCCTGGTCTCCCATGGGGTGCAGGGCCCAAGCACTTGGGCCATCCTCCACTGCACTCCCTGGCCATAGCAGAGAGCTGGCCTGGAAGAGGGGCAACCGGGACAGAATCCGGCGCCCCGACCGGGACTAGAACCCGGTGTGCCGGCGCCGCAAGGTGGAGGATTAGCCTATTGAGCCACGGCGCCGGCCTAGCATACTTATTTCTGTACCATGTGTTACATTACCAACACTTGATCCTCATAAGGACCCACCTGAGCTGGGTGTTGGCATTCCCATTTTAAAGAAAGAGAAACTGAGACTCAGAGAGGCAGAGCCAGCCAGGGGCGGAGCCAGGAGTGCACACTACGGAGGGGGTGCTGCTTCAGGCCCGTGGGGCTTCCTCTCCCTCGTGCCTCTCTTCCGTGTTGGCAGTTGGGCTTTGGCTGCCTTCTCCTGAGAGTGAACCTGGCTCGGCCCGCGGCCAGGCAAACAGAAGCACCGGCCTCCGACAGGGTTCTGAGCAAACACACCAAGTCAGAGCCGTCCCGGCCGAGGGAGCTGGCCTGCACTTTGTCCCAGTGAATCAGCTGCACGGAGGCCGGGCCGTTGCAAAGAGCAGCACCTGGCTGGAAGTGAGGGCCAGGTGAGCTGGTACATGTGGCACCTGGACTTTGGCAGTGTCCCGGGGGCCCGGAGGCAGTACTGGGCCAGCTCCCTGGAGCAGCGCTGAAGGAAGGTGGGAGTCGTCTGAGCAGGTGTGTGGGGCGCGAGTGCCCGTCTTTCCCTGTTTTGCACTGTGCTTGCTTCGCTGTAGTTAGGAAAGGCAGCATGGCCCCTGCCCGGGGCCAGGGGAGCTCATGCCTGGGATTTGGTGCGGTGGATGTCATCCTGGCCCTTGGAGAATCTTCAGTGCTGTTCTTAATTGTAACCTGAGCTCCAGCTGCCTGGAGAGGATGTCTCTTGGCAACAGAATGATGTGATCTTAGTGAAGGGCTTGGGTGCTGCGCTCTGTGCTGGGGGACGGGCTGCCCCCCCCCCCCCCCCCCCCCCCGGGAAGTGCTCTGGGGACAACGTGACAGTGGCTCTGTTCCTGCTCGGCTTCCTTTGTGTCAGAGGCTGATGTTTCATGGCCGTCACCAAAGGCCCTTCCACGGTGTCCGGGGCACCTGGCTTTCCTGGGAGGCGCTGGCAACCGTTCTCTTTGCACCTGGCTTTTTCGAGGAAGTGAGCAGACTGTAGTGTAGGGGAAGGCCCGTCTTCCCCCAAACGGTGACTGACTTAGAGGTGGAAGGCCCCTCTGTGCCCTGCTCGGCACATCCATTCTGCTGTCTCACAGCTCCTGGCCCAGAGCTGTGATCTGGCCCCTTGACTTTGAGCCGTGTGACATTCTGGTTTCGAAACACACACCCCTTTGACCTTTTGTCTGATATGAATATTCAGATGAAGCTGGGAGCTTCGGAGGTGGGGCTGGTTAAGGATGCAATCAGCGTTTGCAGCCTAAAATAGCTCCCAAGGAAGAACAAAGGTGGAAGTGGACGCGGCCAGGGTGCTGGGGTCACAGGAGACTCCGTGGAGGGGAGTCAGGGCCAACGTGTGCTGTCCCTGGGCAGGTGCGCCTCGGTGCTGTGGGCAGAGGAGTGATTTTCCATTTTGAGGAACAAGTGGTGACAGTGAGTGTGATGCAAGAGAGATGTTTAGGTTTTAAAATCTCAAGCCAGGAAGAACCCGGAGACCTGGCTTCCTGTTTCCTCCTGTCAGCCACTCCAAATGTGTATCTTCTTGGCTTGCTGGGAGGAGGGGTAGGCATGGGCACATCACAGGTCTAGTTCTTGCAGAAGGTTAAGGTAAGGATTCAGCAAAAGTGGCTCTTTCTCACTCTCTAAGATTAATTTATTTAGAAGCTAGGGTTACAGAGAGGAAGTAAGAGAGAGAGAGAGAGAGAGAGGGAGGGAGGGAGAGAGAGATATCTTCCATCTTCTGGTTTACTCCTTGAATGGCCACAACAGCTGGGGCTGGGCCAAGCCAAAGCCAGGAGCCAGAAACTCTATCCCGTATGTTTTCTGTGACTCTGCCAGATGGTAGTAACGGCCTCCAAATTACAGGTGGGAAACCTAGGGCTGACACTTGTAGCTGGTAAGTGGCAAAGTTAGGATTTGAACTCTGATCCAGCTCCCTCCAATGCCTGCTCTATCCCTGTCGTTTTTAAGATTTAGTTAATTTATTTGAAAGACAGATGACAGAGAGAGAGAGAGGGGTGGGGGAAAGGAAAGGGAGAGAGATCTTCCATCTGCTAGTTCATTTTCCAAATTGTCGCATTGGCCAGGGCTAGTCCACGCCAAAGCCAGGAGCCCAGGGCTCTATCCAGGTCTCCTGCGTGGGTGGCAGGGAGCTGGATCAGAAGCAGAGCAGCTGGGACTTGAACCTGTACTCTGATACAGGAAGCCACGTCACAGCAGTGACCTAACCCATGGCACCACAGTGCCAGCCCGGCCCTGTACCATTTCTATGACGCCGTGGGGGCATCCATAGTTGGTGTGAAATAAATATTTGCTGGTGGAGTAAATAAAGAAACTGTAATTGGGATTCCTTATAGCACCTTAGCCGCATCTATTGCCTTTATCCGTCTCCCACATCTGCTATCCCATATGTACTTCCTAATTTTTAAAACAACATCAATATAATTGTCTAGCCTGTTATTAAGGTCACGTTTCTGCTGGAGATTTTAGACTTCTCTAGGCTGGTGCCCATTTGGTTGGTTTTAGATCGATTTTTGACGACCATCACTGCTCTTTTCATCGAACCAATTCAACCACGTGTGTGCTCAGAGGCTTAAAATGCTGAGTTTTCCTTTTTCTGTTTGGTCTGCAGGAAGCTAAAATACCTACATAACTGACCCAAAACCCAAGGGAAATTCAGAGGGGCAGGAATGGAGCCGTGGGTTCCTCAGTGGCCCCCTCCATCTCGGGGAAGGCCCAGGTCGCCAGTGCCGGACTCAGAGCGAGGACTTCAGAGAGACGGATACCATCGGCCTGCTCCACACTCTTGGCACAACGGAGAGAGGCTTCCCCAATGGCAAGACGTCCAGGGGAGCCCCCAGCCACAGCAGGACCCCAGGGCAGGTCCCCAGCGGCCCCAGCACGTGCCCAGGCTGGGGGCATGGCAGCAGCATGCACCTGCGGTTGACTATTACGAAGGTGGTCATCGCGGTCAGTTGTATTCAAGGTATGGTTTTAGGGTCTGGCCTGAACCCGACTCTCCTTCACGCTTACGGACTCTCTTCCTTCTTCCTTCCTTTTATTTATCTTTCCTTCTCTACCCTACTGCCCTGCCTTAGCTAAAACCTATCCCTATCCATCCCAAAATGGTTTCTAGCAACTGAAGGCCATGTTTTCCTCCCCTGAATCTCTCCATGGAGCCTCCTGAAGAAGCCATCACAGTGGGGGCGGGTGTGAGGGGAGGGGTGGGGGCAGAGAATCAGGAGCGCCATGGAGGAAGACTGCAGGGAAGCTTTGCTTAGGGATTCCTGGAAGGAGTTCCTCACTGTCACTGGCCCAGTCTGACCCAATTAGTGTGACAACCCCAGCTCCAAGAGGAGTCTTTGTGCCTTGAATAGCACCTGGCGTGCAGCAGGAGCCAACAGGCCTGCACTGCATGAATGGGACTTTCTGAAATGTCAGCCTTTCCGAAAGGGAAGCAGGTGTAGACTCGCAGGCTCCAAGTCCAGGAGGAAAAGTCTCACGGCGAGGCCATGCGAGGCTGGAACGCTGGAAGGCATCCGTGTTCTCTTTAGCTTTTCCAGTTTGGATGACATTCACCGGCCTACAGATTGAAGGTTCAAATTGTGCTAATTATTGCGAAGAATTTTCCTCTATGAAGTATGAGCTGTTATTGATAAAAATATTAACAATGTGGTACTTCTTCCCCAGTCCTTTTTGGATTGTTGAATTCTCAAGGGGATTTGTGTTAAGGACAGCAGCTGTAACGGTGATCAGATTCAAGATAGTCCAACTTGAGTTTTTCATCTCATTTCTATCTGTAATGTGCATGAGAGTTAAAATAATGCAATGGATCCTTACACAGTCATATAGGAAGGACTTTTCTCTGCTGATGTTAAGATGGGGTTTTCTGGCCGGTGCCGCGGCTCACTAGGCTAATCCTCCGCCTTGTGGCGCCGGCACACCGGGTTCTAGTCCCGGTCGGGGCACCAGATTCTGTCCTGGTTGCCCCTCTTCCAGGCCAGCTCTCTGCTATGGCCAGGGAGTGCAGTGGAGGATGGCCCAAGTGCTTGGGCCCTGCACCCATATGGGAGACCAGGAGAAGCACCTGGCTCCTGCCATCGGATCAGCGCAGTGTGCCGGCTGCAGCACGCTGGCCGCGGCGGCCATTGGAGGGTGAACCAACGGCAAAGGAAGACCTTTCTCTCTGTCTCTCTCTCTCTCACTGTCCACTCTGCCTGTCAAAAAAAAAAAAAAAAAAAAAAAAAAGATGGGGTTTTCTTTTGTAGTATATTATTTATGTATTTATTTGAAAGGCAGAGAGAGAGAGAGAGAGAGAGAGAGAACACTCCCACCTGTTGGTTTACTCCCCAAATGCCTGCAACACATAGGATTGGGCCAGGAACTCAATCCAGGTTTTCTAGGTTTGTGGGCGGCATGGGCCCTGGTAACAGGGACATCACCTGCTTTCTCCCAGGGTGTGCATCAGTAGGGAGCTGGATCAGCAGCTGAGCTGGGACGGGAAGCCCAGCACACTCCAACATGGGGGGTGGACATCCCAAGCAGGGTCTTAATCACTGTGCCAAACGCCCACCCCCAGCACAGCACTTTCTAAGACAGCATCTTCTTGTACTGTTGGATTGAGTGTATTTGAGCAGTAAGAGTTTTACTCTAAAATTTAAAAAAAAATGTAATTAAAAAAGAACTTTCTGGAAAGTTTTTTTAAAAACTGCTTTACTATAAAAATCCCAGCTGTGTTATGTAATAAAGGCCCTACTGCTGCTCTGATTCTCTGATCTGGATTTCCTGTGTATAGGATCTAGAATTAGCTGGGACTTTCCAGGCAGATTCTAGACTGGGGATGCAGCTCTGTCCTCCAAAGTCAAGTAAAGTCAGGTCTCACCCTGGAGTCTCTTTGCATACTCCCCTCCAACGACTGGCTCTTTGTGATACTTTAGGCCGAGTTATGAGAGCCTCTATCCAGCCCTGACGGAAGACTATGCTTACGGAAGCCACTACTACCATGGACACCCGCAGTGGCAGCAGGAAGGAAGAGGTATGGGATGATCTCCAAGGAACCCTTAGAGCCTCTCCTTGGGCAGGCGGGACCACCTCAGAAACACTGCTCCGAGCAGCCTTGAGAAGGCAGAAGGGCATTGTATGCATGTGTGGATGATGGTACTGCAACTGTCCTTATGTTACCAGTGCTGGGGAGAGTTTGCCCTCCATCCTAACCACCAGGATTATAGGTTCTGACCAGGTAACAGTAAAGTCAGCTCTTTAGGGTATCCAGCATGTGTGGACTGTAATAAGGGTATGACCACCACTTCACTGAGCTGCGGCAAATGTGCACCAATAGGAGTTGTTGTTGTTTAAAGATTATTTATTTGAAAGGCAGAGTTACAGAGAAACACAGGGAGAAAGAGAGAGAGAGAAAGGTCTTCCATCTGCTGGTTCACTCTCCAAATGGCTGCAACAGCCAGAGCTGGCCCCATCTGAAGCCAGGAGCTTCTTCCGGGTCTTCCATGTGGGTGCAGGGGCCCAAGGTCTTGGGCCATCTTCTACTGCTTTCCCAGGCCATAGCAGGGAGCTAGATCAAAAGTGGAGCAGCCAAGACTCGAACTGGTGCACATACGGGATGCCAGCACTGCATGTGGTGGCTTTACCTGCTTTGCCATAGTGCTGGCCCCACCAATAGGAGTTTTATCAACCACACTGATAGGTTTAGGGTGTGAACTAGTGGCAGAATCTTTTTTTTTTTTTTAAAGATCTATTTATTTGACACAGAGAGAGGGAGAGAGAAAGAAAGAGAGAGAGACAGAGAGAGACAGAGACAGAGAGAGATTGGTCTTGCATTCCCTAGTTCACTTCCCAAATGGCCTCAATGGCTGGAACTGCCCCAGGCCGGAGCCAGGAGCCTGGAACTCCATCTGGGTCTCCGATGTGGGTAGCAGGGGCTCAGATACTTGGACCTTCCTCTGCTGCCTTCCTAGGCACACTAGCAGGGAGCTGGATCAGAAGTGGAGCAACTGGGACGTGATTCAGCGCTTCTGTGTGGGATGCCGGTGTTGTGGGCGGCAGCTTAACCTGCTGCGTTACCTGCTGGCCCCTAGTGGCAGCTTCTGACCTGCTAGGAAAGAGAAGTTTGTTTCAGTGTTGAAAACACACACACACACACACACACACACACACACACCCTGTCTCCACCATATGCAGTTTGGAGACTCATGCCATCAGCTGGGTTCAGGGAGGACCAAGGGGCATCTTAGGGACTTTGGTTGTTAGATCTCACCCAGCAATTTAATTCCACTGGGCTAAGGAGGTTTTGAGCCCACTATGTTCCAGGAACTTGGGTTCACAGTTTGCTAGGGTCTTCCTGAAGGAAGCTGAGAAACAAGATGTGACCGCATTTTTTTGTTTGTTTGTTTTCTCTGAGGGTGCAGTGCCAAGGCAAGGGAGTCCTTATGTGTGGCATGACAGTTACCGGGATCAGAGACACCTCAGCGAACATCGTCCTGAAAACCAAAGCAGGACGTTCAGAAGAGATAGTGAAACCCAGTTCCAGTAAGTGTGAAAGGAGGGGCCGGTTGGACATGATGCAGCCCAATGTGGATTATGTCAGGCGGATTTCTGTTTAATGTAAAATACTGACTTATGTATTTGAAAGGCAGAGCGACAGGGAGACACATAGAGCTAAAGAGCTCCCATCCGCTGGTTCACTCCCCAAATGGCAGCAGTGGTCAGCGCTAGGGCAGGTGTAAGCCAAAAGCCAGGGACTCCATCTGGGTCTCCCACGTGGGTGGCAGGGGCCTGAGCACTTGAGTCATCTTCCGCTGCCTTCCCAGGACAGGAGCAGGGAACTGAATGGAAATGGAGCAGCTGGGACTCGAACTGACACTCCTCTATGGGATGCAGGCATCGCAAGTGGTGGCTGAACCAGTTGCACCACAATGCTGGCTCCAGTGTCGGGCAAATCTTAGGGATTCTGATGCAGGTCCTCTGTTCTAGCCGCAGGGCTATGTGAGTAGCCCTCGATGGCCTGGCCAGCTGTTAAGAGGATCCTGGGTGGAGAGGCTCCGGGATGAGCTCTGTGAAGTCACCCGAGGTCGGTGCTAAAAGACAGCCTGTTCTCTGGGGCCTCAGAACACAGGTGGCCTTGGAAAAGTGCTCCTGATTGGGTCCTCCTGTGGCTTCTCCTCTGTCCACTCCTGGGTGCTGAGAACGGCACATCTACCTGTTAAGGCTGGGCAGGGAAGACACTTTGAGCATCTACCTTGGAAGTGACCGACCCAAGTGCTCTGCTTTTTGGCATACCAGGACATCAGACTGCAGAGAGCAACCCTTCTCCCTGGGACCCGAGGTCACTTCCAGTGCCTGTACCGTGGAACCCCTGGTGCCCCTGTTTTTCTGTCTGAGGAAGTGAATTGGGGTGGGGGTGGGGGTGGAGGTGGATGTCAGGCACTGATTTTCCCTGTGGCACTTGGGTCTCCGACACCCACCCGCACTCGGAGCAGGGTAGCCTCGCTGTGTGCCCAGGCCCCTCTCACTGTTTCTGTTGTTTTTCTAATAGACGATCTAACAGGCGAAACCCTCATAAAGATGGCCCTGCCTCCAGCTCTGGGCAGGAGAGGCCCGGAGAGCTGTTTGCAGAGGGTCGGCTCAGCTGGGGCCTGACGAGTCAGGTGAGCTGCAGTGGTGTGGGGACTGCAAGCCCGTGGCCGGGCGTCACAGCAGCCCTGTCCGTGGAGGCTGGCAGGGCCCTTGAGGACAGGGTTTCCAATGTCTGTGGTCTGCGGGGCCCATCCCCCCATCTTGGCAGAGCTCCACTCACGCCTGCTCATCTCCTGGCTTGCCTGCCTCCGGCATATGGGTCTGAAGCCCTGAGGGCCCCTTTGCATTTTGGTCACAGCAGGAGGTTCAAAAAATGTCACCCAAGTCACCTCAAGGGGCTGAGGAAGACACGTGGAGCCACCAGTGTTAGGTGTTAGGGACCCCAGGAGGCTGGCCAGGTCAGCTTGGCAGGAGGTGGAAGTTGCTAGAACCCTCCAATTCAGGTCGGAAAGCAGGGCTTTTTACAACTTTCGTGGCTTTTTCATCTCTTCCCACCAAAATCTTCCCGTGTGTACCAGCTGGGCCACAAAATAGAACTCTTTATTTTTAAACCAGAGACCTTACTTTTGGAATAAGCATAGATTGATGGAAAAGTTGCAAAGATACTGTAGAGATGAACCATTAATTTTTGGCAGTCTTGTGTTCATTTTGTAGCCCTGGCTAGATGCGTATGAGTTTTGAGGACACTGTCTCTGTACAACTTGTAGCCAGCGATGCAGGGCACATAGTATTATGTCTAAGGCTAACAACACAGCAACAGCAGCCACACACATACTGATAGCACTTGGCGGTGCACAAAGAGCTCCTGAATCTATTGTTTTACTCAGCAGCCTCTAACAATCTAAGTTCAAAGATTTTTTTTTTTTTTGGTACAAGGGAATGTGTAGCACATAGTAGATGTTCATTAAATTAGTTGACAAATAAATCCATGAGTAAGGCCTTGAAGCATACAGGGCAGATATGTTCATCTGTGTCACAGATGAGGGATTGAGCTCAGAGAACCCAGGTTCAGGGTCATGGCAGCAGGGTACTGGAGTCCAAAGCTGAGGTTTACAGCCCGCTGCCTCCAGGGCCCTAATGCATCCTTTATCAAACACCTGTCTGCTGAATGATCCCTTCTTCCTGCAACATACCCACTTTTACTGTATTTACTGCAAAGTTTAAACTTGTTTCTTTGAAGAAACACTCAGGAGGCCCCTGGCACCCTTCCCACGTGTTTCCCTCGGTTTGGATTTTCAGCCGTCGTTGGGCAGCAAGTCCAACCTTCTGCAGCAACGTGAGGCTGGTCTCAGCTCCAGCAGCTATGAGCTCAGTCAGTACATGGTGGACGCCCCCGAGCTGTATGATCCTGCCGCTGCAGCGGGCTGGAGGCCAGTCCCAGCCGGTGGGTACGGAAGTGTTCACAGGAGTTGGTTGAGTGTGATGGGGAAGGCTGGGTGGAGAGTCGTCCTTACCTTGGATTTCCAGGAATGGGTCAGCATATGCCTATTTTGGTCTTCCAGGCAGAAAGGCCAACTTCGGCTCCATTTCCCACTTTTTCTCCTAGAATAGAGATCGCATCTTGGCGGGTTCTTGGAATTGAATGCTGCCTTTGGCCATTGGCAGGCTGGGAGCTTTTAAGCTGGGCTTTTAAGTAACAGGTGACGACCAGGAAGAATTAAGCAAAGCAAAAACAGGGCCCAAAGGCTAACTGCTCGTCTAGAAGTAGGAGACTTGCTGTGAGTGCAGCAGCTCTGAGAGACAGAGACTCCCTGGCCTCTCCGCATTGCTGAGAGGCTGGGCTGGGCGCATCAACCTTGGGACTAAATTGCCAAGTCCTTACATTTTAGTCTGACATGTTCTTGGAGGCTTAAAGCTGCCTGATGCATGGAGTATAGCCCACCCAGGGTCTTATCTGGATTCCAAGTGGCATGTTTCTAAAGAAAAGCAGTGGGAGAGATTTTAAGATTTATTTATTTGAAAATCAGAGTTACAGAGAGAGAGAGAGAGACAGAGACAGAGACAGAGAGATCTACCATCTACTTGTTCACTCCCCAAATGGCCGCAATGTCTGGAGCTGGGCCAGTTGGAAGCCAGAAGCCAGGAGCTTCTTCCGGGTCTCCTACATGAGTGGCAGGGGCCCAAGCAGTTGGGCCATTCTCCGTTGCTTTCCCAGGCCACAGCAGGGAGCTGTATCGGAAGTGGAGTGGCTGGGGCTCAAACTGGTCTCCATCTGGGATGCTGGTGTTACAGGTGGTGGCTCTACCCACCATGCCATAGCACCAGCTCCAAGGGGAGTGTTGCTAATAATGTCCATCTGTGTCTGTTGGTCAGAGGACATCCCAGTGGCTGGTCCCAAGGCGCCCAAGAAGTTCTACATCCCTCACGTGTCTGTGGGTTTTGGGCCAGGAGGTCAGCTGGTGTGTGTGAGTCCCAGCTCTCCCATGGATGGCCAAACCGCCCTTGTTGAAGTGCACAGCATGGAGGTAAACAAGACCCCGTGTCCCTGGGGTGTCGGCACACTGCTCACCCAGCTCCTCCCGACGCATGTGCCCTGCTTGCCTTGCCTGGACCTCGGCAGTCCGGGAACGAGTGCTCTGGTGGGGCGCTGGGCTGGAGGCTGTGGGAAGGGGTGGGCTCTTCTCCGAGGCAAGTGATGGCTGGAGTTCTGTTTCTCCTGCGATGCTAGCGGCTCACCTTCGGCATTCCGATGATTCATGTCTGTCCTGCCCTCGCCTGAGACACTGAGCCGTGTCCTAGGGCCAAGGCCTTGGGACCTGGACGTGACTGATGGGCCCTTGGCTGGAACAGTCCTGAAGGCCAGATCGTATGTTCTGCAGGTGATTCTTAACGATTCGGAAGAACAAGAGGAGATGAGAAGTTTCCCGGGACCCCTGATCAGGTCAGTTATGTAAGACCTATAAGGTAATTACGTGAGCATAAGCATTTTTGAAATCTGAAAAGTCTTCCTGTCCTGGGTCAGCATTTTGCGAACTTGGAGCAGAGTCATTTCAACAAGGCGTTTTGATGGAGGAAGGACAGAAAGAAAAGTTAGCGTAGCTGTCAGGAAACTTGAAATCTGTCCTGTGTTGTGGCGGCGGCGTGGTAGGGAGCTGTGGTGTCCCGTGTGCTTCATAGAGATGGGTAGGAAGGTGGCGTGCAGCCTGGGAAATGACCCAGAGGTGGGCTGCCGTGGGGAGACTGACAACAGCGGCTTTTTCTCTGGAGACAAGGATTCAGATGCTGTGCAAGTCTTCCCTCTGCAGGAGTGAACTGGAACTGTTCACTAGGCATTCGGTGGTTGCTGGTACCGGTTAGGGTGCCTTTGTTGTGGAGAGTCCTGGCTGGGCGGCAGCTCCTGACTCCCAAGTCCCGGCGTCCTACTGACCAGTGGCACCAGGGTGGGCTGGTCACTTGGGCCTCTCGCAGCCTTCGTTTTCGCTCTGAGAAGCAGTGTTGCACCTGCCCGATTGCAGGCGGTGCCTGTGAGGCTCGGGTGAAATCAGGTGCAGGAAGGCTTTCAGGATGGTTGTCACTGCACAAATGTGTTCTTACCCCAAAGCTCCTTGCCAAGAAAATCCCCTGGGGGCATTGGAGAGCTTCTTCAAGTGGAAATGAGCGCTGTCCCCCGCACAGCTATGCAGGTGTGGGGCAGAGAACCAAGTTGGGTATTCAAACACTTGGATATTGATCCCAACCTGGCTTTAATTTATAGCAAGTCCTCAAGAAAATGACTATGCTCATGTATTGAATGTGTAATATATGTCACACAGTTGCTAATTCCTTTATGTGTGGAAGCAGATTCTTTTTTTTTTTTTAAAAGATTTATTTATTTGACAGGCAGTTACAGAGAGGCAGAGGTAGAGAGGTAGAGGTAGAGGTAGAGGTAGAGGTAGAGAGAGAGAGAGAGAGAGAGAGATAGGTTTTCCATATGATGGTTAACTCCCCGATGGCCGCAATAGCTGGAACTGTGCCAATCCAAAGCCAGGAGCCTGGAGCTTCTTCTAGGTTTCCCATATGGATGCAGGGGCCCAAGCACTTGGGCCATTCTCCACTGCTTTCCCAGGCCACAGCAGAGATCTGGATCAGAAGTGGAGCAGCCAGGACTCGAACTTGCGCCCATATGGGATGCTGGTACTGCAGGCTTTACCCACCACGCCATAGTGCCAGCCCCCAGATTCTTTTATTGTCACTATTTTAGGGAACAAACTGAGGCTCAGAGGAGGTAAGAGACATGCCTCAACTGAGCAGTGGGCGAGCAGGTTTAGATCCAGGGTTATCTGTCTCCAACGTCTGGGCCACTGGCTGCTCTCCTGTGCGGTCACTGCAGGTCTCTGGCCTCAGTTTCCTCATCTGTAAAATGGGTACCCCTCCTTTCTGTTCTACAAGGAAGCGCTCTCCTGGAGATACAGGCTTTGCATCGTCAGGCTTCTGTCTCAGCCCCAGCCCAAGCACACCTGCACGGCTCAAGGGCGCCTGCGGTCCTGAACAGGGGTGGTGTCTGCCGGCTCACTCACTGCCCCCTGAAATCTCTCCGCAGGGAGGACGTGCACAAAGTAGACGTCATGACGTTCTGCCAGCAGAAGGCAGCTCAGAGCCGCAAGTCTGGGACACCGGGCGGCAGAGACTCTGCTCTTCTGTGGCAACTGTTGGTTCTCCTTTGTCGCCAGAATGGCGTAAGTCTTGTGCTGATGGGGTAAATCAGATTTGGCAAGATTCCGACAAGCAGGCGTAAAGGGAGCAACACATTTCCCAAGGGGAAAACCGCTCGGGTGCCCACGCCAGGTTCAGCCTCCGACACTTCCACTGGTGTCCTTCTACCCTGCCCTGGGATCCTCCTACATTTCCCGAGCTACCTACCGCGTAGCCAGATGGTACACCTGTGACGCCACGTGTCTCCAGTGACCTGTGTGGCTCCCGACAGCAGAAAAGAACCACGATAGTGAAGCCAAAGTCTGAAATAGAGCAACCCAAAGAACAGTGTTGACATGACTGGCCTCCTTGCGAGAAAGCAGGTCCATGCCTGCTGCCTTCCTGCCTGCTTGGGCCGGCAGCACGAGGATTCCCAGGCTCCGCCCCCAGAATGCACCTGTTTGCCTTGCAGTCCATGGCGGGGTCCGACATCGCTGAGCTGCTGCTGCAAGACTGTAAGAAACTGGAGAAGTACAAGAAGCAGCCCCCTGTGGCCAACCTCATCAACCTGGCCGATGAGGACTGGCCGGTGCTGAGCTCCGGGCCGCGGAACCTGCTCACCGGGGAGACCCCTCCCAGTGTGGAGACGCCTGCGCAGGTGGTGGGAAAGTTCACTCAGTTGCTCTACTATGGAAGGAAGAAGGCAAGTACACCCTTCCTCCAGCCTCCATCTAAAAAGAGAAGCACCACTCCTCTCCCTCAGCCCCTCCTCTCTTACAGGAATAGCACACGCTCATTTTGGAGCATGTGAGAGGTTCATGCAGATGAAAATAAAAACACACCTACCATTGTTTTTAACCACTGATACTACAATAGTAGTGTAGTCCCAGCATTAGAAGATTACACCTGTTAACATTTTTTTAAAAATATCATTTATTTATTTATTTTATTTGACAGAGACAGTGAGAGAGAGAGACAGAGAGAAAGGTCATCCTTCCGTTGGTTTAACCTCCAAATGGCCGCTACGGCCGGCGCTGCGCCGATCCGAAGCCAGGAGCCAGGTGCTTCCTCCTGGTCTCCCAGGAGGGTGCAGGGCCCAAGAACCTGGGCCATCCTCCACTGCACTCCCGGGCCACAGCAGAGAGCTGGACTGGAAGAGGAGCAACCGGGACTAGAACCCGGAGCCCATATGGGATGCCGGCGCCGCAGGCGGAGGATTAACCAAGTGAGCCACGGCACCGGCCCTATTTATTTATTTGAAAGTCAGAGTTACACACAGAGAGAAGGAGAGGCAGAGAGAGAGAGAGAGAGAGAGAGAGAGAGAAGAGAGAGGCAGAGAGAGAGAGGTCTTCATCCGCTGGGTCTCTCCCCAACGGGCCACAATGGCGGGAGCTGTGCTGTTCTGAAGCCAGGAACCAAAAACTTCCTTTGGATTTTCCCATGTGGGTGTAGGGGCTAAAGGACTTGGACCATCTTCTACTGCTTTCCCAGGTATATTAGCAGAGAGCTGGATCAGAAGAGGAGGACCTGGGACTTGAACTGGCATCCACATGGGATGCTGGCACTGCAGGCGGTGGTTTTACCTGCTACGGCACAGCGCCGGCCCCCTTTAACATTTCAATACATTTAGTTCTAGCATTTCTAATATATACATGAAAAACGAGTGGCGTTCACAGGAGTTCCCCTTTATCTCTATTTTTTTGCTTTCTGTGGTTTCAGTTACTCAACCACTGTCTGAAAATATTAATACTTGGCTTGATTCTTTTGAGACCACATTCATGTAAGTTTTATTGTAGTATGTTGTCATAATTGTTCTATATTATTATTAGTTATTTTGTCAATCTTTCATGGCAACTAATTTGTAAATTAAGCTTTATTATAGATATGAATGCACAGGAGAGGATACTTGAGGTTTTGGTCCCATGCATGTTTGCAGGCACCCACTAGGGTCTTGGGATGTATCCTCTGTGGAACGAGACTACAGGACAATTATAGTTGTTTACTACTCCCTTTTCACTTACGATTACACTTGGATGGTGAAATACCCCAAGGCATTAATTATACTCCAACAGCATCACGTAGAATAACCATGTTTTATTTAATCATCTACTGCAGTTGTGTACAACTATTTATAATTTTGTCACCCATTATAAGTTATACTATTTGAACATCTTGTTATATAAGTCTCTGGCTGATCTAATTATTATTATTATTTTTTCAGAATAGATTCCAGGAAGTTTAATTACTGGGTTATAGAATGTGTGCTTTTTAAAAATATATTTATTTTATTTATTTGAAAGAGTTACAGAGAGAGAGAGAGAGAGCTTCCATCTGCTGATTCACTCCCCAAATGGCAGTAACAGCCAGGGATGGGCCAGGCTACAGTCAGGAGCCAGGAGATTCATCCGGGTCTCCCATGTGGTTGCAGGTGTCCAAAGACTTCAGCCATTTTTTGCTGCTTTCCCAAGCTTATTAGCAGGGAGCTGGATTGGAAGTGGAGCAGCCAAGACACGAAACAGTGCCCATATGGGATGGCAGCATTGCAGGCGGCAGCTTCACCTGCTACGCCACAATGCTGGTCCCAAGTCTTGTTTACTTTGGAAGTTGCGCTTATGCTTTTCAAAACTCATAAAGTAGATTAAATTTCCAGAGATCTTCCATTGCACATACAATTATTTTGTTCTTGTGCTTCTTCGGGCGTACCTGATGCCATTCCTGTACTTCCATTTGGTATTTATCAGAATACCTCAGAAAACATCATTGGGGTTGGTAAACTCTTTCTATGAGGGGACAGATTGTAAATCTTTGGGCTTTGCTGGCCGTTGGGTCTTTTTGCAACCCCTCAGCTCTGTGAAAGCAGTCAAAGACAGTATGTATGTGAATAGGTATGGCGGTGATGTGCTAACACTTTATTTATGGACATAGAAATTTGAGTCACATACAATTTTCCGTGTACAACTAAATAGTACTTTTCTTTGGATTTTCCCCCCACCATTTAAAAAAGGAAAAATTGAGTTTCAGATGGTTTTTGCTGCCCTTGCTCTTTTTTTTAAAGATTGTATTTATTTATTTGAGAGGTAGAGTTACAGAAAGAGGGGAGGCAGAGAGAGAGAGGTCAGTCTTTCATCCGCTGGTTCACTTCCCAGATGGCTGCAATGGCCAGAGCTGGGCCGATCTAAAGGCAGGAGCTTCTTCCAGGTCTCCCACGTGGGTGCAGGGGCCCAAGCACTTGGGCCATCTTCTACTGCTCTCCCAGGCCACAGCAGAGAGCTGGATGGGAAGTGGAGCAGCCGGGACTCAAAGCTTATATGGGATTTTGGCGTCACAGGCAGAGGCTTAGCCCACTGCGCCACAGCGCCAGCCCTGCCCTTGCTCTTTACTGTCACCTTTTGAACGCATAGCATCTGCATCACCGTCTCTGTCAGTTGTTGCTCGTTGCTTATGGCTGCAGGGTTTCCTGTGGATGCACTACAGTTCAGTGAAAGCCCTGTAGCTGGACTTTTAGGTAATTCTCAGTTGTTGGCTGTCAGGCAAAGCTGAATGAATCAGCATTGTCATTATGCTCAGGATGACAGCATACGCATTTCTAGATGTGGAAATGTTGGGTCAAAGGGTAAAAGGCTTAGAGTTTGAGAGAGAATGAAAATTGCCTTTTTAGATGTTACAGTGATGCATTCCACGAGCAATCTACAAATGCACCTGTCCCCCACATTCTCACTATTCTCACCAACCAAAATGCTATTCAACTGTTTTCTTATGTGCCAATCTGAGAGAGAAAAATATAATTTGGTGTAGTTATTTGCTTTTATGAGTGAAGTTTTGTACATTTTATATCTGTTAAGTTTTTTTTGCCATGAATTTTACATATTTTTCTGCTGGGTCTTTTTTCCTCACTTGTTGATTTGTTGGAACACTTCTTTTTTTAGGACTTGCCATCCAAAATCAGATTATTTTGAGTGGGGGATCATATTTAGAAAGGCTCCTCATACTTCAAAATTAGCTATAAAAATGAAGTTAAAGTCCTTTTGTGACTTCATCTTTGTACTTAAATATTTCTTCTCTTGAGATCTTTGTATATGGTATTTTTAAAATGAGTGACAGACACGATACTCAGTAAAAGTTAGTAGGATCAAATTATAACATATATACATATATATAAACACTCACTATATAGGAAGGACTTGTGATTTCACCAATGATTCATTTATTTAGTCAATATTTATTAGTAGTTTTTACTTATTCTTTTAAAGAAACCTATCTTTTAATTCCATCTTCCATGAGTTTTTTAAGAAATATATTTATTTAAAAGGCAGAGAGAGACAGGGGGATTTTCCATTCACTGGTTTGTTTCTCAAATGCTTGCATCATCTGGGACTGGGCCAGGCCAAAGCCAGGAGCTGGGAACACAATGCAGGTCTCCCACGTGGGTAACAGGGACCTGAGTACTTGGGCAACCACCTGTTGCTTCCCAGGGGGTGCATTAGCAGGAAGCTGGAATTGTAACTGGGGCTGGGACTTGAACCCAGGTACTTTGACATGGGATCCCAACCAATGTCTTAACTGCTGTACCAAATGCACGTCCAGCAGCTACCACTTCTAAAGCATTGAACCCAGTGGAGGATACAGAGCTAAATTTATGATGAACTCTTCTTCTTCTTAAAAATTTATTTGAAAGATGGAGGTACAGAGAGAGGTAGAGTCAGAGATAGAGAGAGATTGAGAGAGAGAGAGAGAGAGAGAGTGCGAGAGAGGTCTTCCATATGCTGGTTCACTCCCCAAATGAATGGCTGGAGTTGGGCCGATCCAAAGCCAGGAGCCAAGAGCTTCTTCCGGGTCTCCCACATGGGTGCAGGGGCCCAAGTACTTGGGTCATCTTCTGCTGCTTTCCCAGGCTGTAGCAGAGAGTAGGATCGGAAGCGGAGCAGCTGGGTCTTGAATCGGCGCCCATATGGGATGCTAGCACTGTAGGACAGGGCTTTAACCCGCTGCACCACAGGGCCAACCCCTGAACTCTTCCTCTATGAAAAGTAAATATTGACCCTATCCACAATAATAACAAAGCTAAGATTTAACAATACCTTCTATATGCCAGGCACTTGCTTACCATCTCTCATGTGTTATCCCATTCATTGCCATAGAAATCTTGTAAGTCAGGGTCTAGTCTTGATTTAATGTATTTGTAGGGCAGTTGGTTGGTCATGGAGCTGGCATTTGGAGCTTGGAAGCCTCATACCTGAGCCTCAGTTCTAGCACCCCACAACCCACCCTTGACCAAAGGTAAATAAGGGGTAGATGGAGTCCATGAGTTCAGAGTAACTTGGGGTGAGTTGGATACCAACATACCTTTAAAACCTTTATTCATATTTACTAGGGTCTTATTTCTGGCATCGTCTACTATTGATACCCTCGATATAAGTTCTTGATATCTTCACTTATTCTAAAATTATGGTTTTGGAAGAGCAGATTTCTGAGTAAGCTGGTGATTCCCAAACCACGCATTAGTAAGTCCTTTTAAAAATAAAAAATCATAGAGTGAGCATTTGGCATAGTAGTTAAGATGCCACTTGGAATGCATTTTGCTCATATCAGAGTGACTGAGTTTGAGTCCCGGCTCTGCTCCTGATTCCAGCTTCCTGCTAATGTGTGCCCTGGGAGGTAGCTGGTGATGGCTCAAGCAGTTGGATTCTGCCACCCATGTGGGAAAACTAGATTGAGTTCTTGGTTCTTGGCTTTGGCCCCAGGTCTTGCAGGCACTGGGAAGTGAACCAGCAGGTAGATTTCTCTTTCTCTCTCTAAAATAAAACATACAAGGGCCGGCGCCGTGGTGCAGTAGGTTAATCTTCCGCCTGCAGCACCAGCATCCCATGTGGGCGCCGGTTCTAGTCTGGGCTACCCCCTTCCAGTACAGCTCTCTGCTATGGCCTGGAAAAGCAGTGGAAGATGGCCCAAGTCCTTGGGCCCCTGCACCCATGTGGGAGACCAGGAAGAAGCACCTGGCTCCTGGCTTCAGATCAGCCCAGCTCCAGCCATTGCGGCCATTTGGGGAGTGAACCAACGGAAGGAAGACCTTTCTCTTTGTCTCTTCCTCTCACTGTCTGTAACTCTAACTCTCAAATAAAATAAATAATAAAATCTTTAAAAAAAAACATACAAAAACTAACTCTAGACACCATTTTTTTTTTTTTACTTGTAGTGGATGTGAGGCTGAGTTCCTTAACTGTGGCTATTATCTCTTTCTCTCTCTGTGTGTGTCTGTCTGTTTTCAATAGGATTATATGGGGGAGACATTGGGATGACCAAGGAACTTGTCACTTGGACGTAGAATGACCTCATTAGTGGCTTCCTCTCCAAAATCACATTATTATTTTTCGGTACCAAGGAAGTCATTAATACCAGCTAAAAACCTCACATACAAACTATACCTTTAGGAAACTATTCAGAAAATTGAATGAAAAGGTAAATGTACGTGTTTTAAAATTTGCGGCACTGACCCATCTCACCTAGTGAGTGATGTCATTTACTTGGCATATGCAGGTGTTTGATAGCTAACAAGCGATCAGTTACAGCATTAGGTGGGTAAGTTAGCTGCTACATATATCGACAAAATGATCCAGTTCCTATGCGAGGGCAGGGCAGGGCAGGGGAGCCGCTGCATGGCGCTGGTTAGGGACTCAGGAGGTTGGACCCTCTCCCTTCTCCAGTCTAGAGTTCTAAGGCTTCTAGGGGTCATCTGCATGCCTGCCATATGGCTGGGGAACTGCATTTGGAGCCCTGGGTATGTGTGGTTGTGTGGGCCTTACCTGGAGTGGCCTATGGCATTTCCACTTCCATCCCATGACCTAGAACTTGGCCACATCCAAGTGTCAGGGAGCCGGGGGGAATGTATCCTACCTCTTTGCCCAGGGAGAACATGGATTTGGGTGAGCAGCTCTCAGTCTCTGCCACAGCTGCTTAAAAGGGCGCTGTTCCTTTAACACACCCCGAGAGAGAGCCTTTTTGTCCCTTTGGCTACTCACATTTTGAGATCAATCCTTGAGGTGAGGCGCTTCTCTCCCTTTTGGTACTTAGGTTCTTACAAGTGTTCTGCTATCTTCTGCTAAAGAGATAAACCTAACTGGCAACCATGCTTGAGGGAAGCTAATGAAATAGCTTCATGGATTTTGATAAGGTGAGGGCTGGAGAAGGGGACAGCCTAGAGAAAAATACTGAGCAGGTTAGCACCTGCGTCCCGCCACTTCTTCTTTGTGAACCTGTGGGAGGCTCCGCGCGAAGTCCCGACTGCTCTGGGTGGGCGGCAGTGCTCGAGTGCAGGCTTCATAGCTGCTGTTGGAGGCTCTGCTGAATGCGATGCTTTGGGTTTCAGGAGGCCCTGGAGTGGGCCATGAAGAACCACCTGTGGGGCCATGCTTTGTTCCTATCCAGCAAGATGGAGCCAAGGACCTACAACTGGGTCATGAGTGGGTGAGTCTGGGCTGACTGTGGAGTGGGGGTGCCTCCTTTTCCAGGGTCTGCAGGGGGGCTGGGGAGGAGGCCCACACTGCAAGTGCCCTTCCGGTTTCTCTTCCAAGCTGCACACAGTATCTCTCGCCTCCAAGACTTACATCCGAGGCACAGAGACATCCTTCCTACCTGCTACCCCCGTGGTCACAGTGTCTGCTTTGTCAGCGTCTTCTCTCTTTGGGAGGGGCTGTTCCTTCTGTTTTGTGGGGGAACAGGTGATCACTTAGGTTCACCCGAGGGAGCCTCCTGCTGGAGGGTTTGGATGCGAGTAGCTGTCAGCTGCTTAGCCTCACGGTGGGGTTCTGGGTGCTGAGAAGTGCGGAGGGACATGGAGTGCCAGGGAAACGGGGTTACCAGGACTGGGGATGAGACCCAGCAGCGGTGGTGTTGAGACTGAGGGGGTGAGGGGGTGCACTTAGTAAGAAATCACATCAGCACCCCACAATCTGAGCACCATGGGTGGACCTCTAAGCAGGTCCAGACCAGAACAAGATAGAGGAAAGATGGTCCACAGGCCTGCGTGTGGAAGAGGGGTTATGAAACAGGAGGAAAGAGAACCAGGATCGAGTGGAGGCGGTGGTATGGGCATGCTGGAGAAGTGATCTGAGCGAGTCCTCCAGGCTCTGGCTAGCATGCGTGGGAGGCAAGGACCACATGGGGCAGGGCGACCCTCCTGGACGGGACCGGCTTGGTGGACCGTGAGGAGGATGTTCCCTCCGAATGCCTGTCTCCCAGCATTGGCTAAAGCTGGGCTGTGGCTCTCTCAGCTTAGCTTCCACTCGAGTTGGCTGGAAATCCTTTTGGGCAGAGAGTCGATGAGATGGCCACCTCCACTTTGAATTCCTTCCGTGGACCTAGGAACTGGCCCTTTTCCTGGGAGCCCATTCTTCCTGATTCCGGAACCCTCAGTCTTCCCAGGGACTAGAAACAGTGCCCTGTACTTTGTCATGCCCAGAGCTGGATGGCGAGTGCCCTGAGCTTGTATGGCAAGGGTGCTGTTCTGAGCGATGATCTTCCTTTGGGTTTTGGAAGTGAACATTCCAGCCATACACGGCAGCATACATCTCTACAGCAGAGTTTTGCTTTGGGCCATTGATTTTTGATGGGGCCCAGTGAATTGTGAGAAATCTCCCTAACCGTGTATGCTTAAGTCTCAAATCAACTGTGGAGCATATTATGTCCTTGTTAAGCACATCCCATGGATCGTCACCAGCAGGATCACTTCTGGTTCCTGTCCCACGCCTCTTTGCTTATTGAAAATGGCCAGTTAGTGGTTGTGAGTAAAAAAAGCACTCCAGACCCGGGCTTGTCATGAGCCACAGATGTGACACTGAGAGCTGCAGGCTTTGGCGTGGAGGAGGTCAGTGGCAAGTAGGAGCACAGGGCGGCTGGGATGGAGGGGAGCTTCCAAGCCAACTTCCGCAGCTCCCCCAGGAGCTGAGATGGCCCTGCGTCATCTCGGCGATAGAAGAAGGCCGACAGAAACGGATACTCAAGAGCCGGGGTGTCAGTGTCAAAGTGTAGAAAATACCCGCCAACCACGAGACGGGTGTGGGGCGTGTGCTGAAATGCCGTTCCTGCCAATCTCCCCCTGGAGGGTGAAGCAGAGACCCAGCAGGAACGCCCAAGGCCTGGAACCTCATAGCGTGTGCAAGGAGGCTCTCCGGGCCTGGTCCCCACGCACCGCCCCCTCTCTCTGCAGCTTCACCAGCACGCTGGCGCTCAACGACCCCCTGCAGACCCTCTTCCAGCTCCTGTCCGGGAGGATCCCACAAGCAGCCACGGTGAGCATTGTTCCACTGTTCCCTCCACCCGCAGCCAGCAGAGGGACAGCTCAGAAACGCAGTAGAGTTTCCAGGATGCGACACGTGTAACAGAAGTTCACCAGTCCTAAGTGCTAAGTGCTTCGATGCGAATCATTTTGCTTCACACATGGGGAAGGGCCGTAGAACCTGAGGTGCAAAGGTGTGGAGTGATCCATGCTCTCAGAGTTAGTGGGTAGTGGGGTGGGCACGCACCCAGTCTGTCTCAGTGCAAAGACCACGCCATTCCCCGTGCTCTCGCAGCGGCCGGCTTTGCTGCCTGGCACGAGCTGGTGGGCTCCAGATTTAGCCAGCAGGATGCCCTCCTTCCCCCACCCCCAACCAAGGATGGCTTTCCCCTGTGACTCCCCAATCCTTCAGAGCTGGACGGGGATGATCCTACGTGCTCCAGAGCTGACTGTGGCTGAGGGAAAGCCTGGGCCAGCTTCACAGCTTTGCCACCTTGAGGGACTGAATCTTTCGGTTCCAAGGAATTCCTTTTTTGTCTCTGAAGTCTCCTAGCTTCTGGAACAGATGGTGTCGAGTGTCTGGGCCTGTTTTTTCTTGGGGCATCCCATGCCCTTTTAATATGTACATTTGTATTGCAGAGTTCCAGAGAAGTCTCCTGAATTACACCCTCAGTATTTTTTTTGTTCCATTATTTTGACTTTATTTTTAGAAACTCCAGGCATACATATTTCATAGGTATAAAATATATGCACACTTGTATGTTTAGCTAATAAAACTTGCTGTTCTTTCTCTCCCTCCATCCATTCCTAGTTTCCATCTTTCTTTTTTCTCTTTTTTTCCTCTCTTTCTTCCTTCCTTTCTTTTTCTCTTTCAAATTTGCTTGTTTGCTAATTTGAAAGGCAGAGAGACAGACAGATAGACACACACACACACACAGAGATATCTCCCACCTGCCTGTTCACCCCCAAATGCCCCACAATACTCAGGACTGGATCAGCTGTCAGGCAGAAGCCAAGAGCCGAGAACTCTCTCCGGGCCTCTGAGGTGGGATGTAACCTTCCCAGGTTGCATGGCAGCTGTCATCAATCACCCACCCTTCTCTCCTCTGTCCCACACTCCCTTCATTTTTTCTCTTTCCTCCATCCTTTCTGTGCCTTACTGGGTTTTTACCAGTGTCTCTCGCTTCTGTGCCCTTCCCTGTTTGTCTGATCTTGGGCTTCTTCCCTTCTTCCCTGAGCTGTGCAGGTCGGGTTGTCTCCTCCTGCTGTTCTCCCTGGCTTTCCTGAGTTTTTAGGACCCAGCTTCATGCACTTGCTGCCTAGCAGTGATTGTTTTCATTATTGATCCTTTCACCCACCACTTCCCGTTTGGCTGTGGGTGCGTGGCTGTGTGCAATGTTCTCTCACCCGCCGTTTATTTTCTGTGTTACTTTCCTCCTCCTGCCTTGTAGGAGTTTTGTATTTTATTCTGGGCTTGTTCCTTAGAATTATGCACCTGTACAGGAGTTGAATCTTTCCGGGACTGGTGTTGCTGGGAGGTCTGAGCTTGGGTGGAAGCAGCTTGTCTGGCATTTCCCACAGGCCTGGGGTTTCCAGGGTAGGCCTGCTAGGGTCTGCTTCTGCCTAGCCCACGGAGAGACCTTTGACCTCTCCCCACCCGTGTCCATGCTCTGCTTCCTCCTGGGTATCTTTGGTATTTCTTGTATCGTGAGAGTATTTACTTATTTTTGCCGACAACTGGCTTGAATGAAAATGGACTTCATCCACACTTCTGCTTTTCTGTCATTATTGCTTGTGATGAGAGAGAACTGATGGTGTTCACACCCCATCACCAAACCCCTCAGTGGTTGTGGGTCACTGTGTACTGCCCAGCTCAGCACAGCTGTACCACGGCCCCAGGCACTGCACGCAGCCACCTAGGCAATCAGCCTGTGGATCCCTGGCTCACCCTGCAGTCGGAACTTAGCTTTCTAGGGGAGAAAGCTGAGAAGCCAGAGGTGCTGTGGCAGTGCAGTACTTGATCTGAGAGCCGGCAGTTTCCTGGCCTCCCCACACCTCGTCAAAGGCTAGATTTCAGTCACCTGTGATGAGCAGTGCATGGGCCCTGGACACCCAGGCGTGCGTTTCATCACAGGTGTAACCTAGAGTTTCTCCTTGCCGCTGTCTGAATTTGGTTTTGCGGCTTCATCTCACAGAGCCTGCCTCTTTGCAGGAGTTTTGGTGCCTAACCAGTAGAGTTATTATGAACAATTAAAGGAGAAAGAATATCTGAGCATATCAACCACGGAGCCTGGCCTGTTGAAGTTAGTTAATAAAGGACTACTCTTTCTCTGGCCTCCTAGACCTGCTTTATGCCATTTTTTCCCTCAAATCACCTAAGGAAGAGACAGAATAATGGCTTCCAAGGGTGCCTCCTTCCGAGGGATTTTATCCTCTTTGGCTTGTTCCTTTCAATTCAGCAAGAAGAGGCCTGGCTTACATGTCCAAGGGAGGGCGATACTCAGACGAAGCCCATGTGGTGCTGGTAGGAGGAATGCCTGGCAGAGGGTGAGGCTCATGGTCTGAGCCAGGTGATGAATGAGAGCTATTGTAATCATTAGATGTCTCCTCCAACCCCCTCCACTGCATTGTCCAGTCTGGGTGGAGCAGGTGTGACGTGTAGCTGGGTGGAGCGTGTTTTATTCTCTGGGGTCATTGCAAGTGCCAGGTGACTGTGGAAGCGTTGATCTCAGGGCTTAGTTATTACTGTCAATCCTCTGGCCGACCCTCCCACACGACAGCTTGGAGTTAGACCGGCCTGCGAGCCGCCCCTTTCTTTCCCTCTGTTGAGCTTCCCGCTGTATGTTTGTGCTTGTGTTCTCATGTGTGAGGCACTTCAACAGATATGGGAAAAATAGAATGAAAAGATGTTTATCTTGATAAAAAGTGCTGAACTCCACGCATAGCTTCTTTTCACAGTGTTTATCATGAACTTTGTGACGAGCCCTTTATTCACACCTACATGTTATTCATAAAGTGAGAGCCAAGTGTGGCATACTATTCTGTGTTCCACATAGCTGTCTTCTCCCTAAATTGCAGCCCTGTACATGATCTCCATTCTAGAGACGAGGAAACAAAGGTTTAAAGCCAGTTGAAATTTTGCACTGGTCACACAGCTAAGAGGCAGGGAGTGGTGAGGGGAACGCTGGGCCTGTGTTGTTTTAGGACATCATGTTGTTTACTGATATTCACCCCCCAACCCAGCCACCCTGCTGTGCCAGGACCAGACTCTACCGGGAAAGCGCCCGTGGGCAGGGCTCTCTTCCCACTTCCCCTTTGCTGTTTGCTCTCTGCTGCCCCTGGTGGAGGCTGCTTCCTCTGCTTGGCCACTGCTGGGATGGGCACTGCCCTTGGCTGGGAGGGAAATAAATGGGGACTGACTGCAGGCTGGGCCACTTGGCTTGATTTTCTCATTCTAAAGGGCTGATAGGAATTAGAATACATGAGGTGGCTGTGAAGATGACATAAGATGATGTGTGTAAAACTAGGAAAACTTAACTTGACCTTGGTGATGGGCTAATGTGATTTCTACTTATGAAGCAAGGGTGTTTTTTTTTTTTCCCCTTTGACTTGACTAGCTATTTGGCATGGGGGTGCTGGGAAGAAATTTGATAATTAGTAAAACTCTTATTATGTGTCTATTTGTATTTACCTATCTTTCTATTGCTTGTAGGAATTTTGATTGGTTTATTTTTTTTTTTTTTGGTAAATAAGAGAACTTGAAACCAATGAATGGAAGCATTGCAGGCAGCGTGATGGACCTGTGTGAACTCCTCCTAGCCAGAAAGCAGCAGTCCTCTTACCAACACTCGTGTCACCATAAGTTCTGTAAGCTGTCATCATTTTTCTGCTGTTTTTCAGTGCTGTGGGGACACGCAGTGGGGAGACTGGAGGCCTCACTTGGCTGTGATTCTGTCGAATCAGGCTGGGGACCCGGAGCTGCGTCGACGTGTGATTGTCTCCATGGGGGACACCCTGGGTGAGCAGGAACCCGCACCACCCCCCTCCCCACCCCACAAGGGTATGCCTTTAACTTCGGGCCCTTAGTTTCTTAGATTCAGTGCAGGGCCAGAGTCTGGACCTCAGGGCATCAGTGTTTTGAGGGAAGAAACTTCAGGGAAAGGAATGTCCTTCCTGCCAGTTCACTGGCATCTCTGCTGCGAGCCAGCTCAGGCCAGGGCCCCGAGACCTGGTGCTCAGCTGCTGAACTTCTTCCTTAGGAGAGATTCCCTTGCAGACGGACTGGACGCCTGGGGACCTGGCCTCTAGCACCATCCGTCCCTCAGTGACCTTGCTCAGTCAGGGAGCAAGTTCTGCTTTTGCCGTAACTACCCTTCAGAATCCTGCTGCCTTTGTTTCTTTCATCTCTCTATGACCGTGGCCTTATAAACACACACCGGGTATTGAATGTTCCAGGTCAGTGGCTCTCAAATTTGGTCAAGAGGCAGAACATGCAGAGTTCATAGTGTTCTTTGAGGGACTTTGTAAAACCTTGCTGTGTTCAACTTAAAACAGCCATGCGTCAGAGTGTGCCATGTCAGATGTCAGGTTCTTGGGCATCCTGGAACCCCGGACCAAAGGGAGCAACATCTGCTGAGCCCTTCTTGGGTGCTAGGCACTGTGCTAGTGGTGTATCTATTTTAGTTAATTCAATTTTCAGCCAATGGAAAATGTATGGGAGTACCTTTTAACATTGGGAGCAATTTGGTTATTGATTTGATTTTTATGAGCGTGGGGGAAAGTCTTCTATTGTTTGCTGTTAGCGCCCTGGGAGGCCTCAACTAAGGACCCCCATTCGTGAGGGTCCGCTTCTCTGCTGAGGTGTGGGCCTCTCTTCTCACCTCTCACCCTCAGGAAGAACTCCAACGCTTGGAAAGGTTCCTAGTTACTTGTCTGTTATACAGGATATGAAATAGCTTCCTTTTCTGGCAGAAGAGAATTGAGATCAAATGTTTGAGGCCCAAAATGCCAGTGGGAGAGAGGGTGAGCTCTGGGGTCCATGACTCAAGCGTGTGAGAAGTTCATGTGTTCATTCATTCATGCACTCCCATGTGGCTTCTCCCCTGACCCGTGGCTCTGCCCTGTCTCTGTTGTCCTGCAGCCAGCAAGGGGCTGGTGGAGGCAGCCCACTTCTGCTACCTCATGGCTCAGGTGCCCTTCGGACACTACACTGTGAACGCGGACCGTCTGGCCTTGCTGGGCAGTAGCCACAGGTGTGTGACCTTCTAGGGGACGGAGAATGGCCAGGGATGCTCCCGGGGGAGCTGTGTGCTCCTCTGCTGGGTTTCACAGCTCCTATTTGCCATCTTCCTGTGAGCTTTCGGCTCTCGCTGGTGCCCTCCTCTGGTTAAATGCAGAATCTGCAGGCTTGGACCAGTAGATGCTCCCCGGGTGCCACTTCACACCACCAGGCGGCCGTCAGGCTGCATTGCGCCGCTCTGGCCACTGGGTGGCACTCTGGCTCTGCAACCAGGGATCAATTAACCCAATCAAACAAAAATAAGGTTTTACTTGTGAGGCTTCCGCTCTGTGTCAGGCCGCCCTGAGTCCTTTCTGAGAGCCCACCCTGAGCAAAACTAGGGAGCAGCAGAAGCGCGTGTTGAGGCCTTCTATTGGGGGGTGCCCCAGCGCCCCTACTTGTTGCATGTTACTCTCTGCGGGCCACTGCACACCTCTCATCACGGGAAAACCCGGTGGGCCCCGGGGAGAAGGAATGGTTGACAGACAGGCAGTTGGCTCCCTGGGGCCCTTCTGAGCTCTCCACCCCTCCCCCCATATTTGAGATTTCCTAAGCTTGCAGGTGGTGCCAGGCCTTTCTTCGCTCCGTTTCCCTTGTTACACACTGCCCCTAAGAAGAAGGCATTTTTAAGAAGGGAAACTGAGGCACAGCAAGGTGAAAAAACGTGTGGAAGACAGGGCAGCTGGAGTGCGGTGGGGGCGGCCGGGCTCCCAAGCCCTCTGGTGACGGCGGCGCCAAGCTGCCCAGCCCGGCCGCCGGGGGCCTCATGTCCCACACGGGAACGCCGGGGTCCCGTGGGGACCCTCAGCGCGTGGGTGACTACGAGGGCTCTTCAAAAAGTTCATAGGAGGGGCCTTTTATGAAAAAAAAAAAGCGTAGATTTCAAAAAAAAAAATTTTTTTTTTCTTTTTTTGTTTTTGCACCCAAATGTTTCGCTTCCTTTTTCCAAGTTTTTGACGCCTCCAGGAACAACGCGGTGCCTGGGATGTGCGGCCCCCGGCAGGCAGGCCGGTGAGGGCAGGGCCGCGGGGGCGCCTCTCCCCAGGCCCCCCGCGTCAGCCCAGTCAGAGCCGTCGGGGAGGGCGGCGGCGGGCGGCGTCCCGCCACCTCACGCGCCCTGTTGCTCTTCCGGTTCCAGTCAGGAGTTCCCGAGGTTCGCCTCCGCGGAGGCTATCCAGAGGACGGAGGTCTTGGAGTACTGTCGGACGCTGGGCGGCCGCCCGGGCCTCATCGCTTCCTTCCAGGTAGGCGACGCCGCGAGGCGCCGTTGCGACTTGACGCCTCGGCCGACTTCCCCTCAGCAGCGCGAGCGCGGGAAGGTGCCGGGTCTCGTCCCGCGCGTCCCCTGCAGCCTTGTCTTTCACGCCGCGAGAGCTGGACCTCGCAGGGGCCTCCCTGCCCGAGGCTCCGGCCTCGCCGTCGCGGCCCCGGGCCCCTGCGGCCAGCTCCCGGCCCTGCGCGGCCCCGGCCCCAAAGGACGTGTTCATCTAACAGCCATAATACCCCAAACCTGACGATGACGCAACCGACGCCGGGGCTGGGGTCTCTCCCGCGACCCCTGAGACTTCTGCCCCTGCAGCTTTTTTTTTATATATATATATATTTTATTTTATTTAATGAACATAAATTTCCAAAGTACAGCTTATGGATTACAATAGCTTCTCCCCCCCCCCCCCCATAACTTCCCTCCCACCCACAACACTCCCCTCTCCCACTCCCTCTCCCCTTCCATTCACATCAAGATTAATTTGCAATTATCGCCGCTGCAGCTTGCTCCCTGCTCCGTGCCTGGTCCCTCGCCGCCAGCTGCACGTTCTCCTGGCCTCTCTCCTCAACCTCCCGACCTGTGGCCCATGTCACCCACATTTCTCACATTTGTCACGAGTGTGGCAGTGGGCTCGGCTGAGGCGGGGGTGGCCCCAGTGTCTGTTGAAGGCGCCCCCCGCGGGAGCCAGCGAGCTCCTGTCTGGAACGCGGGGCAGTGGCGCCAGGCACGAAGCCCGCTGTCCACACTGGACACCGCCTCCCACGGCTGGCTCCGTGGCCCCCATTTGACACGTAGCTCTGCTGCCCTGTATTTCCTTTGCTTTTTGTGTGCAGGTAACTCATCTTCCTGTGCACATTACCTTCGTATTCTTTTTAAAAAAGAGATTGGTTTATTTATTTGGAAGTCAGAGAGAGAGAGAGGGAAATTTTCTGTCGACTGGTCACTCCCTAGATGGCTGCAATGGCCAGGACTGAGCAGTTGGAAAGCAGGAGTGGGGAGCTTCCTCCAGGTCTCCCACGCAGGTGCAGGGGCCCAAGGACCTGGGCCATCTTCCACTGCATTCCCAGGGCATAGCAGAGAGCTGGATCGGAAGTGGAGCAGCCAGGAGTCGAACTGGTGTCCATATGGGATGCCAGTGCTTCAGGCCAGGGCTTTACCCGCTACGTCACAGCACCGGCCCCTACCATGTTTTCTAAGTACTTTTTCTGGATGATTTCATTTAATCGTCACAGCAGAAGAGGTGGTAGGCGGTGTTACTATAGAAATCCGTGTTGCAGTGGGTACACTGAGGTCAGTAGTCCAGTGTGCCACACTAGGATGGCGCTCGGGTTTGAACCGGAGTCTGTCTGCCACCAGAGCCCTCACGCCTGGCCCTCGCCTCGTCCCTCAGGCTTCGGCAGGAGATTACTTGTATTCGTCTGTACTCTCCACGGGGCTTGCACCAGGGCCTGTTTTTGCTTGTGTTATATGTGCCCTGTCACCTGGTCTCTGCCCCAAACAGAACAGCAGGCTCTCTCGTACCACAGCCTGATGGATAGGGAGTAAGCACTTCGTACATTTCCACGGTGACCAAGGCCTAGAGTGGAGCTGATGGGTTGTCTGTACTTCTCTCTATAACTCAGGAACCACGGGCTGGATTTGGAGTTGTGCCTGTACACAGATAAAATGCCCCAGATGGCACAAAGCTGTGGATATGTGGATGCCAGTGCTGCAGGAAGCTGGCAATCATTTGACTTGCAAGAAGTCTTATCTGCGTCCCCCCCTATCCCTCCAGCCCTGTCTGGTGGACTCATCCCTGGCCCGGTTCCTCTCCGCAGGTGTATAAGCTCCTTTATGCTTCCCGCCTGGCGGACTACGGCCTGGCGTCCCAGGCCTTCCATTACTGCGAAGCCATTGGCACGGCCGTCCTGAGCCAGGCAGAGAGCAGCCACCCTGTGCTATTAGTGGAACTCATCAAGGTGAGCGTCTCAAAGGGTTCTCTGCAGGTGGTTTATCTTCAGTGTTCAGAGCAAGCCATTGGAGAGCAGCTGAGGCTCCACGTTTCATCTTTTTTGAACACGCTGTACAATTGGAGCCCACGGCTGTCTTTGGCCACGGCTGTGTGCCCAGATGCGATAAGCAGAGTCCGAAACACACAAGGGAGGAGGCTGGGGGCGGGGGCGGGGGGATTGGGGGCCTGGGAACACCATGCATGTACTTCTTGACAAATTCATTCTTGCACCTGCTTTTCTGGTACAGTAAAATGGCATGCAGCGGTAAACCATTCTGTTTGTAAAAGCTGGGCTTGGAAAATGTAGTTAGTGATTAAAACAGGAAATGATCCTTATTAAAATACTTTTAAATGCATGGAATATTTTATCACATGTGGGATACATTTAAAAAAGAAAACAAAAACATATCAACTTTCAGTTTCTGGGGAAGAAAACAATAATCAGGCAAATACTTGTTTCAGTTAATTGAAGAAAAAGTCCATTAGAGAGCAAAAAGGCAGCCTGCCCTTACATTTTTGTTTTGGTGTGGATGAGGCCCAAGTGCTGGATTCTGTAGGCAATAACGTTAGTGGTGTTCAGGCCCCACACACTGAGATTTCTGCCCACAGGTTCATGTTTGCAAGGAACCCAGGGAGCCAGAATGGTTGACTGGGGAAGTTCTGGGACTTCATAATGGAATAAGGCGGAGCAAGTGTTATGGTACAGCTGGTTAAGCCACTGCCAGTTGTCAGCATCGCATATCAGAGCAAGTCCAAGTCCAAGTCCCCACTGCTCCAGTTCTGATACAGCTGCCTGCTAACGAGCCTGGGAAAGCCGTGGATGATGGCCCAAGTGTTTGGGGGCCCTGCCACCCACATGGGAGACCAGGATGGAGCTCTTGGCTCCTGGCTTTGGTCTGGCCCAGCTCTGGCTGTCGTGGCCATTTGGGGAAGGAACTGAAGATAGAAGATCTCTCTGTTTCTCCCTCCCTCTCTTTTGCTCTGCCTTTCAAATAAATCAATAAATCCATTGGTTCACTCCCTAGATGGTGGCAATGGTGAGGGATAGGCCAGGCCAAAGTTAGGAGCCAGGAGCTCCATCCAGGTCTCCCATGTGGCTAGCAGGGGCCCAAGAACTTGGATTATCTTCTGCTGCTTTTTCCCAGGCCATTAGCAGGGAGCTGGATTGAAAGTGGAGCATCTGTGACACAAACCAGCTCTCATATGGGATACGGCTTCGAAGGTGGCAGCTTTACCTCTATACCACAATGCTGTCCCCAGTTAATAATTATTTTTTTAAGATTTATTTATTTATTTGAAAGTCAGAGTTACACACAGAGAGGAGAGGCAGAGGGAGAGGTCTTCCATCTGCTGGTTCATTCCCCAGATGGCAGCAATGGCTGGAGCTGTGCTGATCCGAAGCCAGGAGCCTGGAACTTCTTCTGGGTCTCTCACGTGGGTGCAGGGGCCCAAGGACTTGGGCCACTTTCCACTGCTTTCCCAGGCCATAGCAGAGAGCTGGATCGGAAGTGGAGCAGCCGGGACTTGAACCGGTGCCCATATGGGATGCTGGCACTGCAGGTGGATGCTTAGCTGCTACACCACAGCACAGGCCCCCTCAATTATTCTTTATAATCCAATTTACAAGGCAGTTGCGGCTCTTTCTGCTTCCCGTCATTGCCGCCTCGCCCTCTTGGTGTTCCATCACTCTGATTGCCCTCTCTGTCCCTCTCCCACTGACTCGGCGCAGCTGGCCGAGAGGCTGAAGCTGGCAGACCCGTTGGTTCTCGAGAGGCGCGGGGGAGATGAGGCCTGGGAGCCTGACTGGCTGCAGCGGCTCCGGCGGCACCAGGAGCTGCAGGTGAGCAGGTGGAGCAGGGGTGGCAGGCTGGGCCTCAGTTTCCCTCCACTCTCCCTGAGCTGCAGAGGGGCATGGACATCAGCAAGTCCTGGCCGCATGCTTCCCTGTGGTGTCCCCATCACCCACGAGCTGCGCCCCGTGTCCCGGGAAAGGGTGGGACTCTGAGCTCCTCGCCTGCTTGGCTCCCATTTTGAAACCATTTCCTCTGTGTGTGTGTGACCCAGGTGGGTGGAGGCGGAGTGGGGAGGGCTCTCCCAAACCCCTTGCCGCCCTTCTCTGAGGTCCCAGGGCGCATGTTTGATGGCTAAGAAAGCTTCCCCATCTCTGCTGGGAACAAAGGATCAGAGAGACCGCGGTACTTTCATGTAATGTAGGCCAGGCACTCACTTAAAAGACGTCCGGGCCTTTCCTCTCTGTTCTCACGATTGCCCAAGCTGCTGGTCGTCATCGGGACAGTAAGAGGACCAGGGCCTCCTCCCTCTCTTCCTCCCATTATGCCTGAAGAAAGGACCAAGTGGATGTTTCAAACCCAGCCCTCCTCCTTCCCTCCCTGCATCCCTCTGCTGTGGCCTCTCAGGCCTGTGGTTTCCCTCCTTCCGTGGGCCCTGACCTGCGGCCAGCGCTGCCGGCTCTGAGCACAGCTGGGAGCCCTGGAGCCAGTGCCCTGCTCAGGCCACTGGGCGCTCAGCGGAGGTTCCCTTACCGTGCCACTCCCACCGGAGATCCTGTCTGATTTAAGTTCAGAGTCACCCCGTTCCCTACTCTTGTTTCTCCCTGTGCCGCGGATAAAGGAGTGTGCTTTATCTTAAACAGCAAAAGGCAGCTGCAGACGCTGGGGAACCTCATTCTGCAAACTTGGATACTCCAGGAGCCACAGGAACAACAGGTGCTTGGGACAACAGCTGACGCTCAGGGTCTGATTGCACGACACAGACTTTTCCAGGGAATTCTAGCCCCTCCCTCCCCTGAGTGCCTTCCTTGCCTGTGTCAGTGTGACCCACCCGCTGGGCCAGGTACCTCCTGCACACAGCCCCTCTTTTCCCACGGTTACACGGGGTCCTCACCTCTTCCCTTCCAGCCATGCCTCTTGTGCTTCCTTCAGGGGTGAGCAAAGGGAAGGGGAGGGGGGGCAGGCCTTGCTTCTGGTCTCAGTGAAGGGTGGAGCAGCACCAGGCCACTGCCTCTTGTGGCTGCTTCCTCACAGCCCTGTCCGCTGGTGCCCACACAGCCCTGGGACCTTGGGCCAATCTTGGGCTTGTCCCCACCTGCGTTCATCTCATCAGCAAGGCCCCCTCCAGGGCAAATGGATTGTGCTGCTTTACAAGCAAAGCCATCGCCTCTCAGATCTGATCTGGGCTTTTAATGAGAAGTTTTCTTTCTTTTTGATTTTTAAAATTTGAGAGGTGGTGGTGGGAGGGAGGGGATGAGAGTGAGAGAGAGAGGGAAGGAGGCAGAGAGAGAGAGGGATAGAGAGAGAGAGAAAGGGGCTCTGGTTCATCAGTTCCACTCCCCAAATGGCCTCAGTGGTTAGGGCTGGGCCAGGACCAAAGCTGGGAGCCGGCAACTCAATCCAGGTCTCCCATGTAGGTGGCAGGGACCCCACTACTTGAGCCATCACCACTGCCTCCCAGGGTCTGCACTGGCAGGAAGCTGGCACCAAATCCAGAGGCCTTTTCCCAAACTGGAGGTCTTCCAGGTTTCAAATACCCAAGTCCGTTAGGAACTCCTTAAAGGAGAAAGAGTTGATCCAAAAATACAGAGGTGTGGAGTCGGATGGGGTGGTCATTTCTCCCCTCCCAACCCACTGCTGGAAGGTGTGGAGACGGCACGAGGATGTGAGCCACACTGGTGCTACGATCACCGTGCTTTGCGAGGCCTCAGGGGCAGGAGCTGCACCCTGTGGCCGGTCTTGTTTCTGGTCTGATTCGTGTGCAGATGCCACAGTTCAGGTCTCACTCCTTCCTCTTGTGTCCGCAGAAAGCACTTTCTACCAGGATCTTCCCGCATATCAGCGCTTCTCAGACGCCCCCGGGTGCGAGCCAGCGCCATGGCCAACACCTACGCAGACTGGCCTGCCCCAGCCCTTTCCCCTCCAGCCAGGGCCCGCCGCAGGGCCGGCAGGGGCACCTGTGCCTCTCTATTCAGTGCCTGAGACCCACTTCCCGGTCAGCACGGAGGAACCACAGGCTGTTGGAGGACAGGTCTGGGAGGACACGCGGCAGACACACTCAGCCCCTGGTAAGACCTGCTGGCCAGACTGGACGCCCGGGGTACCGAGTCTTGGGGCAGCGGAAGCAGGGGAGGGAGGTGCAGGCAGCAGTGGGAGCCGGTGGGCTGGAGCCAGTGCAGACTTGTGGTGGGGTGTGCACGTTGCTGCGGCTGCTTTGTTGCACTGGAGGAAGCGTGTTCTCTTCCTGTCTGTCCTGCCCTCGCTGTGGGTTGCATAATCTCTGGGCAGTGGGAAGACTGCAGGGTGGAGAAGAGAAAAAGTCACCTGCACCACAGCATAGGCCTCTTTCTGCACCCGAGAGCTCACTGTCAGGGGCCGTGGCAGGAGCCCGTGTGTCTGTCCTGGCCCCTCGGACTTGGGACAGCAGGGGCAGACATGGGTGAGCGGTGCTGAGCTGTGCCAGGGGAGAGCTGGGCACTGTGAGGATGAGATCTCAGACCCGAGACAAGGTCCTGTCCAGGCTGGAGACTCAAACGGGGGATGCCTGCGATGCAGACAGACATTGGAAAGGACCACCGTGCTTTTGGGGGACCCGTGCGTCCTGGGGCGGCTGGAGCTGAGAGAAGCCGTGCACCTGGACTTGGATTTGCTGTGGTCTCAGAGAAAAACGGGCTCTGACTCCAGCCACTTTGCAGCTGGGAAAGTCTCTGTGTCTCCCACCACCCTTCATCAGGGTGCCTGGAGGAAGCACGGCTCTGAAGCAGTTTCTGTGTGTGTTTGGTGCTGCAGGAGAGAACATAGCGTCTCCAGAGACCTTCCAGGAGCCTGAGGGTCTAGAGGTCATTTCCACGCCACAGGTGAGTGGACGAAGCAGGGTGAAGGTGAAGAGGTGCCTGCTGCTGGGTTTCCCGTGCATGTAGGTGCCCTGGTTTCTGAGTTCCCTGCAGACTCCTCCCCACCACGGCGCCAGCTCTCTCTCCCACTCTGTGCCTCTTCCTCACTGTTTCTAGCCCCAGTCCTGGGGGGCAGGGAGGAGCCTGTGTTCTTACTTACATTCAGTCCCACCCCATGTGTCCTGGGAGGTGGAGTGGAGGGAGCAGAAGAGCTGGTTTAGTTTTGGCCTCATGGATCTTTGCCCCCTTGGCATCCTAACTGTCTGTCTGTCTATCTATATCTATCTGTCTGTCTATCTATCTATCTATCTATCTATGTATCTATCTGAGAGAAAGAGACAGAGGTCTTTCATCTACTGACTGATGCCCCAAATACAGGCCTAGGCCAGGAGCCAGGCACTCCATCCTGGTCTCCCACATGGATGGCAGGACCCAAGTTTTTGGACCATTGTCTACTACCTCTCAGGTACATTAGCAGGAGGCTGGATCAGAAATAGAGTAGCTGGGACTGAAACCAGCACTCCAATGTGGAATGCAGATGTCCCAAGCAGTGCCTCAACCCACTGCATCGCAATGCCTACCTTCTCTTCTTTTTCTAAATTTATGTATGTATACGTGTACTTTTCTTTCTTTGAAAGGAAGAGATACACAGAGAGATAGAGATAAAAAGATCTTCCATCTGTTGATGCACTTTTCAAACACCTGCAACAAGAGGTGCTGGGCTGGGCTAAAGCTAGGAGCCAGGGACTCAACCTGGGTCTCTCACATTGGTGGCAGCTGACCCAAGGACTTCAGCCATCATCTGCTGCCTTCCAGGGTATGCATTAGCAGAAAGCCGGAACTGGTAGTAAAGCCAGCACTTGAACCCAAGCACCAGTGAATGAGTGGAGGGGAGCGCTTACTCTCTCTGCCTTTCTCATTCTCTCTGCCTCTCAAATAAAAAAACAAGAAGTTTAGGGGCTGGCACCGGTAGTAGGTTAAGCCTCTGCCTGTGGTGCTGGCATTCCAGCTTGGAGTCCTGGTTGCTCCACTTCTGATCCAGCTGTCTGCTAATGGCCGGCTAAAGCAGTGGGAGATAATCCAAGTACCTGGGCCCCTGTACCCATGTGGGAGACCCAGAAGAAGCTCCCGGCTCCTGGCTTCTGATCGGCCCAGCTCCAACCGTTGTAGCTATTTGGGGAGTGAACCAGCAGATGGAAGACCTCTCTCTATGTCTCTCCCTATCTCTATCTGTAACTCTGCCTCTCAAATAAATAAGTAGAGCTTTAAAAAAAGATAAATTTATTTTGAAATCTATGTATAACTTTTTCATAATATGCATTTCCACGAACTTCTTGAAAAATCATTGTGTATGTACATATATACTTAAGTGTATATGTGTGTATGAATAGATGTGCATAAAACATATGCATGTGTGTTTTTAAATGGTGAAGAAAATGTCCATGGAGAGCTTTATTTCTTATTTTTAAAAATATTTATTTATTTGGAAGACATAGTGACAAAAGGGAGAAACAAAGTGAAAGAGAATTTTTAAAATTTTTATTCTATTTTTTTCAATTTCCCCCCTTGCTGCTGCCTTTTTTTTTTTTTTTTGATAGGCAGAGTTAGAGAGAGAGACAGAGAGAAAGGTCTTCCTTCCTTTGGTTCACCCCCCAAATGGCTGCTACGGCCAGTGCGCTGGACCAATCCAAAGCCAGGAGCCAGGTGCTTCCTCCTGGTCTCCCATGCGGGTGCAAGGCCCAAATACTTGTGTGGGGAGCAATCCGGACTGGACTAAGTTACTGGAATTAAGACTTATTCTATGCATCTGCTCTCCCACAACATGGCGCTGGGAGAGAAGTAAACAGCTTCCGCACAGCTGCCTCCAGTTCAACCAATAAACAGTAGGACTTGCTCCTGATTGGAGGAGAGCAGCGTACTCGGCGTGTGGGCAGCCGAGTTAGGATTGGCGGAGGAGGACTATAAAGGAGGAGAGAGACGGCATGCACCGGGGAACATCTATGGGGAACATCTAAGGGGAACATCTAGCTGAAGGAACACCTGTGCAGCCCCCCGAGAAAGCCGGCTGGCGGTGTGCCGCTCCCCTGCGGAAGTGGGGAATGTGGCCAGGGGGAACTGCCCTTCCACGGAGGTGGAAGGGATAGTAGCCAACCCGGGAAGAACCAGCAGCAAACCCGGGGAGGGCCGAGCAGACGAAAGAACAGCGCAGGGTCCTGTGTCGTTCCTCCGCGAAGAGGGGGAGCGACATAATGGTGCTGTGACTCGGATATGAAGCCTAGGCAGGGTTTAGTGTCATTCCTCCACGAAGAGGGGGAGCGACATAATGGTGCTGTGACTCGGAAGGAAACCTAGGACGGATAGCAAACTTAGGAGGGAAGAAACGGGAAGAAACGGGAAGAATTGGGAAATTATCGGAGAGAGAGACTAGCAAACAGCCTAGGGAAAAGCCGGACGAAAAAAGGTGCCGGAAGAAGCTATGGAAAGCCTAGGCATAGACTCAGATACGGACTACGGGGGGAAGCTGGGAGAAATCTCTAAGGTCGAAAGCGAAAGTGAAAGCTAGAACAAACAGACTCGGATGCGGACTGTGGGGAGAGGCCAGGAGAAATGAGGGAGGAGTATTGTTGGAGGAAAGCTTGGGGAAACATACCGGGTAGAGAAAAATGTTAGGGAAATTGAAGCCGCGGGGGGCAGGCCAAGGCGGAAACGGAAGCCACTTTGGGATTCTCAAGTTAGCCCGGGAATAGGGGGCGAAAGGTTGAAACCAGAAGCTGAAACGTAAGCCAGATTGGGATCCGTCTGATTAGCCCGGGGAGCAAAGGACGGGAAGCCAAATCGTGGGGCGGAGACGTAAGCTGGGTTGAATTCGCCAGGCTAGCCCGGGGAACTTAGATTGAATGCTAGTGGCGGACACGTAAGCTACGCTGTGTGACTCGCGGAGGCTGCCGTGCGCAGAGAGAGCGTGCGGGGCACAAGTAGATAGGGAACGGGGCTGGCGTAGGCCGTGGTGCAGACGCAAAGGGCGTGGAAAGCGGAGCCGCGCAGATGAGAGAGGCGCTGGCTGAAGCGGCGCAGAGCGGGAAGCTGCGGGGATAAGAGAAACAGAAGTTTGGAAGTGGAGTGAGAGAAATGGGAATGTTGGCAGACAGAAGTAAAATGGGAGAAATAGGAATGCCCGGAGATAGAGAAATAGAGAAATAGAAAGGCCTCCCTACAATACAACAATTAGAAGGCTTGGATTCGGTCTGCCCGATTAGTGAGGCGATGAGCACCTGGGCGGCTAGCAGCTTATGCGCCGCAGGTCACCGAAGACAGGCACGAATTAACATCAGTAAGGCCTCCCCACAAAAAGGCAATGAGAAGGCTTGGATTCGGTTTGCCTGATAGGGCTTGTAAGCCCCTGCAGGCAGAGCAGAGCATGCGCTGCAGGGCACCGAACACAGGCACGCATCAGCGCCTAAAAACCTCCTCACAACATGGCGAAGAGAGGACCCGGATTCGGTTTGCCTGATTGATAGGACTTGTAAGAGCCTGTGGCAACTCTAGCAAGTAGAGCAGAGTGTGTGCCGCGGGACACCGAAGACAGGTGCGTATCAACGCCAAAAAATAAAAAGAAAGGGGGATCTGTGGGGAGCAATCCGGACTGGACTAAGTTACTGGAATTAAGACTTATTCTATGCATCTGCTCTCCCACAACATGGCGCTGGGAGAGAAGTAAACAGCTTCCGCACAGCTGCCTCCAGTTCAACCAATAAACAGTAGGACTTGCTCCTGATTGGAGGAGAGCAGCGTACTCGGCGTGTGGGCAGCCGAGTTAGGATTGGCGGAGGAGGACTATAAAGGAGGAGAGAGACGGCATGCACCGGGGAACATCTATGGGGAACATCTAAGGGGAACATCTAGCTGAAGGAACACCTGTGCAGCCCCCCGAGAAAGCCGGCCGGCGGTGTGCCGCTCCCCTGCGGAAGTGGGGAATGTGGCCAGGGGGAACTGCCCTTCCACGGAGGTGGAAGGGATAGTAGCCAACCCGGGAAGAACCAGCAGCAAACCCGGGGAGGGCCGAGCAGACGAAAGAACAGCGCAGGGTCCTGTGTCGTTCCTCCGCGAAGAGGGGGAGCGACAACTTGGGCCATCCTACACTGCCTTCCCAGGCCACAGCAGAGAGCTAGACCGGAAGAGGAGCAACTGGGACAGAATCTGGCGCCCCAACCGAGACTAGAACCAGGGGTGCCGGCATCGCAGGCGGAGGATTAGCCAAGTGAGCGCGGCGCCGGCCAAGAATTTTCATCTGCTGGTTCACTCCCCAAGTAGTCACAGTGGCTGGGGCTGAAGCCAGGAGCCCAGAACTCCATCTGGGTCTCCGGTATGGGTGGCAGGGGCCCTAACAAAGGGCCTGTTGGTGCCTGTGGTCAGGGAAGGTGTGAGCTCCTGGTGCCTGTGGTCAGGGAAGGTGTGAGCACCTGGTGCCTGTGGTCATGGAAGGTGTGAGCACAGCAGCCCTGGTGCCTGTGGTCAGGGAAGGTGTGAGCTCCTGGTGCCTGTGGTCAGGGAAGGTGTGAGCTCCTGGTGCCTGTGGTCAGGGAAGGTGTGAGCTCCTGGTGCCTGTGGTCAGGGAAGGTGTGAGCACCTGGTGCCTGTGGTCAGGGAAGGTGTGAGCACCTGGTGCCTGTGTTCAGGGAACGTGTGAGCTCCTGGTGCCTGTGGTCATGGAAGGTGTTAGCACCTGGTGCCTGTGGTCAGGGAAGGTGTGATCACCTGGTGCCTGTGGTCAGGGAAGGTGTGAGCTCCTGGTGTCTGTGGTCAGGGAAGGTGTGAGCACTTGTGCCTGTGGTAATGGAAGGTGTGAGCACCTGGTGCCTGTGGTCAGGGAAGGTGTGAGCTCCTGGTGCCTGTGGTCAGGGAAGGTGTGAGCACCTGGTGCCTGTGGTCAGGGAAGGTGTGAGCACCTGGTGCCTGTGGTCAGGGAAGGTGTGAGCTCCTGGTGCCTGTGGTCAGGGAAGGTGTGAGCTCCTGGTGCCTGTGGTCAGGGAAAGTGTGAGCACCTGGTGCCTGTGGTCAGGGAAGGTGTGAGCACCTGGTGCCTGTGGTCAGGGAAGGTGTGAGCACCTGGTGCCTGTGGTCAGGGAAGGTGTGAGCACCTGGTGCCTGTGGTCAGGGAAGGTGTTAGCTCAGCCACCCTGGTGCCTGTGGTCAGGGAAGGTGTGAGCACCTGGTGCCTGTGTCAGGGAAGGTGTGAGCGCAGCAGCCCTGGTGCCTGTGGTCAGGGAAGGTGTGAGTGCAGCATCCCTGGTGTCTGTGGTCAGGGAAGGTGTGAGCACCTGGTGCCTGTGGTCAGGGAAGGTGTGAGCTCCTGCTGCCTGTGGTCAGGGAAGGTGTGAGCTCCTGGTGTCTGTGGTCAGGGAAGGTGTGAGCTCCTGGTGCCTGTGGTCAGGGAAGGTGTGAGCACCTGGTGCCTGTGGTCAGGGACGGTGTGAGTACAGCAGCCCTGGTGCCTGTGGTCATAGAAGGTGTGAGCTCCTGGTGCCTGTGGTCAGGGAAGGTGTGAGCACCTGGTGCCTGTGGTCAGGGAAGGTGTGAGCACAGCAGCCCTGGTGCCTGTGGTCAGGGAAGATGTGAGCACAGCAGCCCTGGTGCCTGTGGTCATAGAAGGTGTGAGCTCCTGGTGCCTGTGGTCAGGGAAGGCGTTAGTGTAGCAGCCCGGCTGCCTGTGGTCAGGGAAGGTGTGAGCTCCTGGTGCCTGTAGTCAGGGAAGATGTGAGCACAACAGCCCTGGTGCCTGTGGTCAGGGAAGGTGTGATCAGCTGGTGCCTGTGTCAGGGAAAGTGTGAGCACAGCATCCCTGGTGCCTGTGGTCAGGGAAGATGTGAGCACCTGGTGCCTGTGGTCAAGGAAGGTGTGAGCACCTGGTGCCTGTGGTCAGGGAAGGTGTGAGCGCAGCAGCCCTGGTGCCTGTGGTCAGGGAAGGTGTGAGCACAGCAGCCCTGGTGCCTGTGGTCAGGGAAGGTGTGAGCGCAGCAGCCCTGGTGCCTGTGGTCAGGGAAGGTGTGAGCACAGCAGCCCTGGTGCCTGTGGTCAGGGAAGGTGTGAGCACCTGGTGCCTGTGGTCAGGGAAGGTGTGAGCGCAGCAGCCCTGGTGCCTGTGGTCAGGGAAGGTGTGAGCTCCTGGTGTCTGTGGTCAGGGAAGGTGTGAGCTCCTGGTGCCTGTGGTCAGGGAAGGTGTGAGCGCAGCAGCCCTGGTGCCTGTGGTCAGGGAAGGTGTGAGCACCTGGTGCCTGTGGTCAGGGAAGGTGTGAGCACGGGGACTGGGCTCTGGCCTCATCCTGACTCCTCAGCAGTCACTGAGGTCAGTCCCGTCGGAGCATCCTGTGGTGTATGCAGTGATGGGTTGTAGAGGGAGCCACATAATATGTGGCATTGAAAGACAAATGCCCTAAATAGCACTCTGGCCTCAGAATCAGACTTAAGGCATTCAGATCTGGATAAAAATCCCTTGAGAGTATTCAGGCATGGAAATCCAAGACACTGTGGCAAAAAATGACTTACATTAAAGATCTCTGTGAGTGAGATCCCAGTGGGAAGAATGGGCCATCAAAGAAGGAGGTACCTTTCTCTGAAGGGAGGAGAGAACTTCCACTTTGACTATGACCTTGTCTAAATAAGATCGGAATTGGCTAACTCGAGAGGCTTCCATAGCCTTGGCAGCTCATGACTAGAGCCTCGGGTGATTACTGACACCATAAACAAGAGTGTCAATTGTTAAATCAACACAACAGGAGTCACTGTGCACTTGCTCCCCATGTGGGACCTCTGTGCTTAATGTGTTGTACTGTGAGAATTAACGGTAAAACTAGTCTTCAAACAGTACTTTGCACCCACACAGACATGCAAAGTATAATCTGTTGAAATATTTACTTAGTATAGAGTTGATCTTCTGTATATAAAGATAATTAAACATGAATCTTAATGAAGAATGGGATGGGAGAGGGAGTAGGAGGTGGGATGGTTTGGGGGTGGGAGGGCAGGTATAGGGTGAAGAAGCACATTAATCCATAAGTTGTACTTATGAAATTTATATTTATTAAATAAAAGCTTTCTATAAATTTTTTTTTTTTTAAAAATGTGCTTCATCTACGGTCATTGCTAAATAGATGGGCACGTTTCCTTCCTTCCAGGAGCTGCTGGCTCCCAGAGCACAGAGTTTCTCTGAGAGCTGCCCTGGGTCAGTCAAGGAGGCCGACGAGGAGTCCTCTGATGAGGCAGGCAGGAAATCTGCCCGCAGTCCCGCGCACACGGGGAAGCTGGCTGATGCGACAGCGAGCGCTAAGGTGGAGTCCTTGCTCTGCTCTTCCCACCCTTCCTTCGCCTTCCAGACCCTGGGGTGGGGGTGGGGTGGGGGTGACGTCTCCGTCAGCAGGGAGCACCAACCCCACAGCTATGAAGACTCCTCTACCCTTCCAGACCCTGGGTGGGGGTGGGGTGGGGGTGACGTCTCCGTCAGCAGGGAGCACCAACCCCACAGCTATGAAGACTCCTCTTGGCCTTCCAGACCCTGGGTGGGGGTGGGGTGGGGGTGACGTCTCCGTCAGCAGGGAGCACCAACCCCACAGCTATGAAGACTCCTCTACCCTTCCAGACCCTGGGGTGGGGTGGGGTGGGGGTGACGTCTCCGTCAGCAGGGAGCACCAACCCCACAGCTATGAAGACTCCTCTACCCTTCCAGACCCTGGGGTGGGGTGGGGTGGGGGTGACGTCTCCGTCAGCAGGGAGCACCAACCCCACAGCTATGAAGACTCCTCTACCCTTCCAGACCCTGGGGTGGGGTGGGGTGGGGGTGATGTCTCCGTCAGCAGGGAGCACCAACCCCACAGCTATGAAGACTCCTCTACCCTTCCAGACCCTGGAGTGGGGTGGGTGTGACGTCTCCATCAGCAGGGAGCACCAACCCCACGGCTATGAAGACTCCTCTACCCTTCCAGACCCTGGGGTGGGGTGGGGGTGGAGGTGGGGGTGACGTCTCCATCAGCAGGGAGCACCAACCCTGCAGCTATGAAGACTCCTCTTGCCCTTCCAGAGGTCGGGATTTGGCTGGTTCAGCTGGTTTCGCTCGAAGCCCACCGAGAATGCCCCCCACTCCGGAGACGAAGACTCATCTGACAGCCCTGACTCAGAGGTGACCTCTGAGGGAGGAGAACGCCCCCTCTCCTGTGCACCTGCCACAGGGAACTTGCTCCGCCCCTGCGGGCACCTGACTCCACCTCTCCCTGAATGAAACAAGTTTTGTGTTGGGAGTTGGCAAGGAAATAAATCTCTCTTGGGAGGGCAAAGGCAGATGGAGAAAAACCTTAAAAAGTTAGCCTGAAGGGTTTTAGCTTCCGAGGTGCGCAGGCGGGAGCTGTCGGGGTTACTGAGCAGAGGCAGGCACGTGCAGAACAGGGTTCGGGGAGTGCTCCAGCTGCCGTCACACGTGGAGGCTGCCATCGTGGCTGTGGGCATACAAGCAGGCTGGCCTGAACTTGCGCATGACCAGTGTCGCCAATGCTGCCCTTATTTCTCCCTCCAGCAGGAGAACCCCAGAGCACCTTCTCCCCGGGAGGCTGGCCTGGGCCTCTCACCGCCACCCCTCCTTGAGTCCCCGCCCCTGCCAGGGGCCAGCGCTTTCGGCGGGGGCACAGGTACCAGCAGCCTCGCATCCTTGGGGCCATCTCTGAGCCTCTCGGTGCCCCCCTGGGTGTGAGGGGTGTCTTCTGGCAGTGTGGGGGTCCCTCCGTCCTGAGCAGAGGACACAGCTCTGACTCATTGCTCTCCAGGAAGGGGAGAAGCCCAAGGAGCCATGTCCTCTCAGGAGACAGCTGCAGGCACTGGCACCGGAGGCTTGTCTGGGCCTGAGGTGAGCAGTCTGTGGGCTGGGGCCTGGCATCCCGACGAGGGTCGTGTGTGAGGTCTGAACTTCCAGCCTGGGCTGCAGGCTCCTGGGGAATGCTGGGAAAGCTTGTACGTCTAGTTACGCAGACTGGACTACCATCTGTTACGCAGTTACTACCGTCCCGGCGTACTGCAGACTTAGAGGGCTTCCATAGCAGACGTTTGTCACAGCTCTGGGGGCTATAAGCGCAAGATCCGGGTGTGGAAAGTCTTGTTTCTCCTGAAGCCTCTCTCCGTGGCTCGTGGCTGCCGTCCCCTCCCTGTGTGTGCGGTGGTCTTCCCTCTGTGTGCGTCTGTGCTCACGTTTCCCCCTGGTGTACGGACACCAGGCAGATGGTGCCACGCACCCGTGGGACCTCAGCTTCCCCTGATGGCTCTTTAAAGATGCCATCTCCAAATACAGGCACGTGATGAGCTTCAGGATGCGGATTTGGGGCAGGATGCAGTGCAGCCCCTAACAGCTTCCTTGGGTGAGGTCCACAGAACTGCCTCTGCCCTGTCTTGGGGGAGCCAGAGTTCAGCATTTCTCTGGCTTGGGCTGTAATATAATTTTTTTAAAAGATTTATTTAAGAGGTAGAGTTACAGAGAGAGAGGAAGAGACAGAGAGAGATGTCTTCCATCTGCTGGTTCACTTCCCAAATGACTGGAACAGCTGGAATTGGACCGATCCAAAGCCAGGAGCTTCCTCCAGGTCTCCCATGTGGGTGCAGGGGCCCAAGCACTTGGCCATCTTCTGCTGCTTTCCCAGGTGCATCAGCAGGGAGCTGGATTGGAAGTGGAGCAGCCAGAACTTGAACTGGTGCCCACATGGGGTGCCAGTACTGCAGATGGCAGCTTAACCTACTGAGCCACAGTGCCGGCCCCCTGTAATAGAGACTAGACAGCTTTTTCATATCAGCATGGATTACATACCTATTTCTGTGTAAAGCATATTTAAAAAATTCCTGAAGCCTGTTTAAGTACTCTTGTTGTGTGTGATGTCTTGGGAAGAGTGTGATGTTGCCTCTTACGACGCTGCCGGCGTTACTGTGGCTCTTTCTTGTATCAAGGCCACTGTGTTGTTGCCATAGAGCCAGGTTGTGTGACCCTGGACCGTGTTTGCTTATAATTTCCTGCATTGTATCAAGAAACCCTTCCCATGTACCCATGTGCTTCTCTTGACCAAAGTTGACGCTCAGGGGAGCGCTCACCATTCTGGAATCTGGGAAGCGGCTGCTGATAGGATTTCCCATTATTTTCCACCACAGAGTGCGTCCTCTGAGCTCTACTCCAACCCCAGCGTTCTGCTTCCTCCGCCTTCCGTGAAAGGGGCTGTTCCGCTCTACAACCCATCTCAGGTCCCGCAGGTAAGGAGCTTAGGGGTCAGGGGAAGGGGTGGGGACCACCGGCCTTGGATTAAGGAGATTTGGGGTTATAATTCAAGTTTACTGCTTACTATATGAGCTGCGACTGTGAGCAGTTGTTTAACCCAAAGCTCAGTGTCTGTGTCTGTACAATGGGTCTGGTAGTAGCTGCCTCTTGGGTCCATGGAAGGCTTGGCACCTAGACAGTGCTTCATAAATGCAGCTGTCATTAGTATTGCTTCTGGTCTTTTGTTTTTGTTTTTGTTTATTTTTGACAGGCAGAGTGGACAGTGAGAGAGAGAGAGACAGAGAGAAAGGTCTTCCTTTTGCCGTTGGTTCACCCTCCAATGGCTGCTGTGGCTGGCGCGATGCGGCCGGCGCATCGTGCTGATCTGAAGCCGGGAGCAGGTGCTTCTCCTGGTCTCCCATGGGGTGCAGGGCCCAAGCACCTGGGCCATCCTCCACTGCACTCCCTGGCCACAGCAGAGAGCTGGCCTGGAAGAGGGGCAACCGGGACAGAATCTGGCGCCCCGACCGGGACTAGAACCCGGTGTGCCAGCGTCGCAAGGTGGAGGATTAGCCTAGTGAGCCACGGTGCTGGCCTCTGGTCTTGAGATGAGAGAGACCCAGGTGTTGTTGGTATCGGTGTCATGGGAGCACCACCCTGTCCTGGCGTGAGGGGTTCCTGGCAGACTTGGAGAGAATCCAAGCTCCCTGTTCACGTGTCATGCAGTCTCGCTTTTTTTTTTTTTTTTAAATAAGCTTGAATTTCTTTCCTGTTTGCATATATAAGAGGTGAAGGTATTAGGGAAAGGTGCAGAATTAGAACAGAACCCTGCGAAGCCCGCTGCCGCTGGAGTGCTCTACGCAGACACAGAAGGTCCAAGAGCTGGAAGCTCAATCTGGGTTCCCACATGGGCGGCAGGGACCCAGCCACGTGAGCCACCACTTCTGTTTCATGGCGTGCACACGAGCAGGAAGATAGAAACAGGAGTGGAGTCAGGACGCACACCCAGGCACTGCAGTGAGGGAGAGGGGCGTCCCGAGTGACAAACACCTGGCCCTCCTCTGGTCTAACGCTTGTTCTGCTTTTCCAGCTCCCCACGGCTGCTGGCCTCAGTCGGCCAAACCGCCTGGCTCAGCGCCGCTACCCCACGCAGCCCTGCTGAGAATGACTGCACGTCCCAGGCTCATCCCCGGGGAGTGTGACATTGATGCAGCTCTGCTGTCTCAACCCCCCAGCCCTTCCAGAGGTCTGCACTGGTCTGTCGCCTCTGCTGGGCTCCCAGGAGCCAAGGGGACAGCGTCTCCCTCAACACGGTGCCATGGTGGCAGCATGTGAGGCGGTGGCCGAGAGCCCGAGGAGCAACGTTGGGGCCCTTAGAATCCACAGCCAGACTCCGCTGGGCTCTGACGGGTGTGGCAGAGCAGCAGGGGCACAGAACAACATTCTGGACTCACTGCTGCTCCTCCTTCAGTCTTCGCTGTAGATCAGTCCATGGCTCTTGGTGGTGAAGCTTTGTTCCCGGAACTCGGTTGTCTCTGCCCTTCCCCACTGCCTCCTTAGTGACAGCTCAGCCGTTTTCCCCCTGGTCCCGGTTCTGCGCTCATCCTCCGTGTGGTTCAGATTAATTATATCTCCTCTCACTTCCTAGCTGGTACTAGTTTTTTTTCTTTCACATTCTGGCATCTGGCTATCACGTTAGATTGCTGAAGGCATCCCATTGTCATGGTAACTACTG